GCATGAGAGCGGGCAAGCTGTCGCGGGACATCTTGTACAACATGGGCATCACGGATGGCGCGGTATGTGATGTTGTGTGTGTGTGCTGTTTCCGTCATTTCCGGAGTCTACCGTTGGAAGGGACGCCGTTGTCGGTTCGGTCATATGTTCTGGGTTTGGTTTGCAGACCTCCAGTCTTGACCAAGCCCAAAATATGGCTAATTTCGCGCTTTTAAAACAAACCACGATCGAGAGCATACTGTTGGGGTCTTGGCACTCTGTATGTTTATTGTCGTAGCTTTCAGCTTTGTCTCATCGCGTTTCACGTTTCTGCCGAGATGCACCTCAGAGAGCTTTTCACATACCCGCGTTTCTGAGGCCTATGGTTCACTCTCCGCCCAACCCGCCATTTTGCATGCAGTGCAAGATCATCGGAAGGCGCAACAAATACTCCATGATCTACGCCATGTTCGACGCCCTCGCCAAGCACCGTGGAATCGAGAGCATAGCGAGGGGGCGGGGCAAGCGCATCTTGTCTCTCCAGCGAGAAATGGCAGGGCGGTTTGCCTGAGTAGACGTGACCATAACGTGCCCTTGGCGAATCGTATCTGTTTTGTTCCGATGTGTTGAGTCAGCAGAGACCGGCTTGTGAAGGTTGATTTGCTATGTAGGGGCGTAAAGTACTGCGAGTGTTGGAGGCGTCATCAACGACAAGAGCAACGTTCGAAAGTCGCTGAAGTGGAAGCATGATGCACACCGTCAACTTCTGGTGCATTTGTTTTCGTCATGTCAGCGTGAGCAGAGTGAGCGAAGCAGCAATCAACAGGACTCATTTTTGCGAGCCTTGGGTAGTGCCTTCGGACGGTTACATTTGATTGCGTTCGTGTGTCCTTGCCCGCCCTGACCGAGCGTGGTTGGAACCACCGAAAAACGCTGCCCGTCACTAGAAAGCAGACAAACGACTAATGTTACTCCGTATGACGCATGGAGCACTGGTCACCTTCCCTTCCAGTCGCAACAAGGCAGATGGAGCAGCGGCGGCCAACAATGCTGACGTTTTCAACCACCACTGAATAACCTCGCTTTGGATTGATGTATCTCTGGCACAGCATCCCGCACAGCCGTCTGCAGGGGGATAGGCACATCAGTTTGCTCAAAACACCACCCGATAGTCGACTGCTGGAGCGAAGCCATCATCGCCACCGTCTTACGCAAGAGGCTTGCTGCCATTACCCCAACGAGTACCGGGGCCGCTTTGATGCTGTCGAAGCATTTCCTCTTGCAAACTCGCAACACATGGTGCGCCATTTACCGACTTTGTTCGCCTATTATGCCCAAGCACCCTAAAGCCATCCTTCACTCATGTCTAGAAGCTGGACCCACCCTTTGTTGAGGCCCTCCGAAGGAGGCAGGGGCTGCAACCCCAAGAGGCCAGCAGTGTTGACCAAACCAACGAATGTCTCTTCTACGTTGGCCAAACGCCATCGAAAGTTGGGGGTCAACCACCTAGAGCAACACAGCTCTGTCCGAGGCAGGCCGCCCTGATGTTGACTCATAGCCTCAGTTGAGCTGCTTTCTTGCTTGTGTCCTTGGCATCTCCGTCCATGCCCTTCCCTGTCGACTTGACGCTTGCTGTCACCTGCAGGGCACACACACACACAAACACCGACAGTCAGGAACAGTTGGACCAACATCACAAGAGGGGGGGGTGGCACCAACGAACGCACGTCCAAAACTTTAGGTGGGGTTTTAGAGTCGAAAACAAGAAGATTTCCTCGACACAACGAGGGGAGCTTGGACATCCATGCACGAGCGAAAGCACCCAGCAGTACACAAGTTTTCCCCACATAATCGTGTATCCTTGGATGAATGACGTCTGCTGTAATGTTTTGCCCGTTGTGTGTACAGTCGATTCCAGTGAGGACCCTTTTTCAACCACGCTTCGCATAACGGAGAATAACACAGGAGGTGTGTCCCCTTCCCCTTTCTCGCTTTCTAGCGCCTTCGCCTTCCTTGTGACATGTACGCCTGCCTTCGACATTTGGTGACGACACTGGCTCGAACGCTACGTAGTCTTAGCCCTCATTTCTGAAATCGACCGTTGAAGAGTGTCTGTACTCACGGATTCCTGAAGCTGACTGAAGAACTTCGCAGAGGTGCTGAATTCCCGTCCAGTTGATTCCTCGCCCCCTGCGAAAAGAACGTCAGAACCAGACGAGGGATACCTCAGCCAATCAGACAATGCGCAGTCTGGGCCAACATTGAACGCTGCATCAATACATGAGCGTGCCCAAAGGCTTCTACGATTTAACAGTGTCGTAACTGGTCGTAACGGTCTGTCTTCAGAGACCGAACTGGGGACAGGAAGTGGCTAGGGGTGCAAGAGAGCGCACGACTGACTCGCTGTGCACGATGTGCGTTTATCGCACGAAGAATAGATCATTGGGACCAAAACGTGCTCCATAATACTATCAAATAATGTATGCTACGCAATCAGCACACCAGTCCGTCCTCACACGAGGTGAAAGGCGATCTGACCAATGTGCCGCCAACAGAAACTGTTGCTCGGCGACTTCCGCGAGGTAGGCAAGCAGCAGAGCATCAAAACGGGTGCCGTTACGCCGATGAGGCGGTGTCGAGCCTTACCATTCGGTTCAGTCCGAGAAAAAAAGCATGCCCGACAGGAAGGTGTTCATTGCTCGCATACCAGAGATCTGGTTGTGTTGTCAACAACTGGTATGTGTACTGCGCGTGCAGCAAGTGGAATACCTGTGGCGGTGGTGACGTTCTTGGCACCCTGGATGTCCCTCATCATCTTGGCCTTCTCGTACTTGTTCCCGAGACCCGGATTGAGCTTGGACACCAGCTTCTGGGCCGCTTCCGCCTGACCATGGACGGCACCATTCAAGCATGGATCGCGTTAAGAAACTCGGCACGCCAGAATATGTTTACAGCTTATGCACCACTTGATTTGATCAACAGCATGCGGCATGCGGCGGGAAAAACGGTTGGTGCATCTTTGCCACAACGACGAGAAAAACAAAACGCGCTTAGGAATCCACCGAAACACACCCGCCGATTTGTGTCTGTAGGAAAGCAAGCGTGCGGTAGATGGAACAGCAGTCCTCAAATATACTTTGCGGCCTTCCACGGCAAGGTGCATGGTACATTGTGGTGCTACCATGGGGGCAGGCTGCATTTGCGTCTTTAGCAATGACACCGTTGCCGGGTAACTTGGTAGGTACCATCCAGACAACCGCGGCACCATCACATAATGAGCTCATGACCGGTTTTGAGTCAAGCTCATTCTTCCAAGAGGCCTTGCAGGGAATAAATATCACTATGACCTCATCAACACCGTCATGCTTCCAAGAGAGAGGTATTGCAGGAAAAAAAGAGCACTGGACGGTATACGAGTACAGCCTAGTCAAAACGTCAAGAACAACCTCTGCAACATCGACACGCACGCCACTGCTGTTAGTTTGAACCAAAACAGGCAGCAAATGCACGCGACCAGAACCATATTTACAAAGATGATTGTGCATACCTGTCGCCTGGCTTTCCGCCTGACGGCCTTCTTCGACGAACGCGACCGTTTTCGATCCTCCTGGCTCATCTCTGCCCCACCTGCGGAACGGTTGGACACAAGTTTTCATAATCGAATGTGAATAAAGCAAGTGTTTACACGACACGAAACCAGACGACAAGAACCTTGCTCAAGATATCATCCCCTCGAGCATAGGAAAGGGGCGGTGTTGTGATCAGGCGAGAACCTTCAGAAGGGGCAAGAATACAGGAGGACCGCACAAGGCCGCCCTGTGATCGTGTCCCACAATACTTTCCCGAGCACCCTCTGCACCAAGCCAGCGCTCGTGCGAAACACCCAAAGTCACACGAGCCAACAAGTGGGAGTAAAACACGACGACGCCACTTACCAGAAGTCTCAGCAGCCAACCGACATAAACGTCACCCCTTACTACGCATACCTTCCAAGAACTCTGCTTCTCGGCCCCGCTTTTTCTTGTAAAGTTCTTCGGGCGCCAGGGCCTCCGCGTCTGCGACAGACGAAGGCAATACCTCCTCCATGGCAATGGCGGCCACGTCGGCCTGGACCTGATGGACGAAGGGCGAGCGCCATGCACACAGCAGTGATGAAACATGAGTGAAGCGGCAGCAGCAACAAGCGTAAACTAACCTGGTGCAATCCCCAAGGGGGCGGGTCGCGTCCAAGACCCCAACAGTTTGCGCGATAACAAATACTACAAACAACCATCGTAGCCAAGAAATATCGTACCATCAATGTCAAAACCGGCACGCCTATCGGAAAAGAACAAACCCCGCAAGAAACACACGTCCTACAGTAGAGAGGGACACAAATAGCTTGTTGGCGTACTTCCCCGTGGCTGTTGCCCAATCTTACTTACCTTCATCTCTGGGATGGCGGCCTTCGGTGTGTAGTGGAAGTTGCACAGAGCGTCCAGCTTCCCGCACAGCTTGGAGAAGAGATGCTTCAGTTCGTTCTTGAGGCCCTTCTGAGGATCGTCCTCCGTCACACCCATGGTTTTCTTCAAGAACTGCAGGCGCCACAACAACCGCCGTTGGTGGGGGGTGATTGTGGGGATGCGACATGCCAAAGCACAGATCAGTCATGTCGTGGGGCTCATGAACAGAGTCAGTTAATATTGGTGAATGATAGCTTTGGTGCCGCCGACATGTCAAGCACGCCTCGACAACTTAAGAGTCCTCAAAGATCGAGGTTCTTCGAATACAGCATGAAACCCTCGCACTCCGGCGGGAGAGGAAAAACTGTAGCCTTCAAGACGTGGACGAAGGCCGGATACTGTAAGCGAGAGGCTGATCAAGCAGGCCGCAGAATATCCTGCTACCTCAAACCCACGTCGCGAAAGAACTGACTACGCTGCACTGTAATCACATTTCATTGTCAAGTTGAAAGACGACTCTGTGCCAACGCATGGAAAGGTGGGCGATGCGTCGACCACCGGCATTGGCCAGACATGATTGACGAGCACCAAGCAAACGCTGTGTACGACCGAACAAAAGCAAGGATACGTTGGCCCAGTTCGGGAACGTCAAAATATCTTCCATGTGAAACACAGACGTCCATTTGCCGCGGGATGAGCATCATCTGCAGGATAAGCACTTCGTACGATTTTTCTTGCGTACCTCTTTCTCGTACAGCTCGCCAAGGCCTTCCTTGCTCTTGTCCTGCGATAGGTGAGGAGCCTCCTTCCGAACGGTAGGTCCTTGGAGGTCCCTTCAGAGACCGGTCCAGGCGAAACGTGCATTGCGTTGAGCGACAAATCGTGTATTGTGGGGCGGGCACGTAGCCGCACCGCTGCCAAGCAACATACATAAGGTCGATGCGATGCTACACTTGGTCAACCGTGACACAAAACAGGGCTGGTACACAGCTCACATGTTGAGCCCCACGCTAGTCACATCAATACTCACACAGTATTTTTCACTAGAAAGCCTGTGCTTGGTATGTGGCCGCAAATCACGTGTTGGTATGAACGTTGTCGCAGTGGCATGACTTGCGGCAAACTACCACATCCGCATATATCGAGCTATCCCAGCAGAGCACGAATCCGACACGATGGGCACAACACACCAGTACACGGAGTACAGCCGTTGGCCACAACCAATCATCGCGTGCCCCGGCTCAGACTCACCGCGGGGTGACATCATCCCAGTTGCTGTCCAAGCACCTCTTCTTGATCATGTCCAGCAGCGTCATCGCGTGCTCCGCCGTTGGGGGTGGGGCTACACGTGTGGCGCGCTCAACGTCCACGGTTGCCTCCAGCAGGCTGCGATCAACCACAGCCGCAGCACCAAGAGCACAACAACAGCGGGGCAGCAACGTGGGAGCCAATCAGACGGGAAGACGGTTGGAATGGCCGCACGATGGCATGGCATCGTGGGACCGGATCACGATGGGCCTGTCGTACAACACACAGAATGACACCAATGTCCTCGACAACACGATCATGTGATCGATCAAATACGACGAACAAAAAAAAACTCAACTGGCTCGTAAAAGGGACACGACTACAACGGCCAAATGTCAGCCTTGACATCAATGCAGCAGGCCCGACAACAATACCTAACGCCTCGAGGACGACATCTTGCGCCGCACACACACACACTCACCTATTCTGCGGCCTGTCGTGGGAGTGCACCTCGCCTCTCAACGCCCACGGTTTCTCCGCCAGCAGCTCTCTCTCTTGGTCGGAGATCTTGCTCTTCATCCGCCTAGAGTGCTGCACGTGCGCTGACAAGACCCCAGTTTCTTCTTCTTCTTCTTCCTCTCCCTCGTCGTCACTTGCATCACCGTCTTCCCCGTCATCGACGTCATCCCCGTCGCTCTCTGCACCTCCTTCCTCTTCCTCCTCCTGCTGACGTCTGCTAGACTGTTTCTTCTTCGACAGTCTCCGCTTGCTCCTTGGCTTGTCACTGCTATCGCGAGAGCGTTTGCCGTTATGGGGATGAGACGCGTGAAGCGACAGTAGAGTGGGATCAAAATTGAAGGGGGGGGGGGGGGACGAGAGGTATCGTTGTGGTCATAACGATGAAGAAAAGCCACCCGAGAATACTCCCGTGCCCTCTTCTTCCATGCTAAAAGCATACGCACGTCTCGATGAAACAAGGGCAACACAAGACGTACTTTCGTCTGGAACCAGAGGGCCTAGCAAGGCACTTTACTTGCAGGACAATGCAAAACCCGCAACACCCCAGAACCCGAAAATATCCTACAAACGAAAAACATGTAAAACAGGCCGAGGTAGACGCAAGCAGGTCATTGGACGCATCGTCGGTTCCTGTTCTCAAACGGCAACAGATGTGGCAGGCCGCCATCGACACCAAGCATGTCTGGGCAAACAAAAATCAAGACTACATCTACGACGACGACCGCAACGGCAGAAAGAAACCAATCACTGCCGCGGACGAGCTACACCGGTATCACTTGACAGCGCCTGCCCAGCCACGGCTACGGAGAAAACTCACCCATCGTCGCCGTCGTCGAAGAAGTCCTCGTGCTTGATCCCGCCACCGACTTGCTCGTCCTCCGATTCCGCCTCCTCTTGCATGAGCTCCTCCATCATCTCCGCGTCGTCTTCCTCGTCCGAGTCGTCTTCCTGATCTTTCTCTTCCCCTGAATCGGCGTCGCCCCCTCCTCCACCGTACATCTCGTCGAGCACGCCGTCTGTAGGCAGAAGGAGAGAGGCGCAGCGAGGGCAAAATAATTCACCACATGTCAGAACACATCATGCAGCGAGGTAGGGGGATCGTGTTGTTGCCCGATCGCCGGCATGGTCATCGTCCGCGCCTCTTCGAGCAGCAACAACTAAACTCCAAAACCTAAACAAAATGAGGTTGATAAGGACGGGGCCTTACGTCTCAATATCCAACATAGAGTGCCCCGGCTGCCTGACAGCAGGCGGCACCCCACAAAACCTCTCATATCTCACAGGTGTCTCACCCTCGAGATCATCATCATCCATGGTGCCTTCGTCCGCAAACTTTTCCATGTCATCGGCGTCGAAGAACATGTCTTCGGTCTGCGTGAACACAGCGAGAAAAAGCAGCGGCAACAATAGAGGTGTGAATCAGTACTTGCGCCTTGTGTGTGTTTAGATCCTAACGGCATCATAAACCTCTCTAAGTCCAACTTAAATATCGCACGAGCACGCTTGCACCTCTCTGCTACCATAAACAAAAACATTCAGCAGCACGGCAATGAGCGTGTCGCCAAACACCCGTCAAAAACATCAGCGGGACGACTTCGGTTCATTCACAAGTACAGCAGTAGCTGGAAATGTGTCCAGAGATTTCACCGGCACTACACCGGACACCGGCGCTACTCAGAGTACAGAACGACATGATATTTCAGAGTGTGCGAGCCGAAAACACCGACGCTATTCCCGCGCCCCGTACTATTCGACTGCCACTATACAGGGCCCACTACTGTTGCTGAAACATGGTGGTATAGAAGAGCAACCTCGTACAATCAAAGCGTTGCCAGCCACACGAGAAACATGCTGGATACAATTAAACGTGCATGATTGCTATATTGCTCAACTGAAGCGGTATTCAACAATAGCAAGGACCAATCCACGGCCACCTGTGCAGCAAGAACAGCACGGGCCACCCCCCCGGCTCACCTTTTGGTTCTTGGCTTGCTTGCTGCTCTTCGTTGTGCCCGTTGCCTTGTCCCCCTTCCCTCGTGCTTTAAATGCGCTGGTATCCCTTTCATCGCCGTCAGCATCGCTGCCATCCTCCCCATCCACCTCTCCCTTCGCGTCGTCGTCTCCATCACTGACGCTTCCACCACCCAACAACAACGCTGTGCTATCACCTCCCTCCATGTCTGCGTCGCCATCATCAGCCTCCTCGCCATCGCTAGCCTCCTCTCTACCTTCAGCCTCCTCGTCCGATGCGATGTCCGCAGCTAGCTGCATCATCGTCGCAAACATCACCAACGCCACAAACCAGAATCAGCGCCAGCGCAACGGCAAAGTCATTCCCCGTAGGGTCACAACCATTCCTTGTGGAAGCTCGGGAAGGCCGTGGGTAACGGGGGTAACGAAATACTCCATTTTTCGTTGTACACCAGCAGCGGCAGCGACAACCAAAGTCAGAATCAGCGGAAAAGTGGCTGCCACGGAAACAACCAGCTTGAAACAACGAGCAGTAGTAAATACTCATAACGGCATGGCACAGATGATGCGCCGTCTCCAGCAAGTGCAACAGCATCACGCTCGGCCAACGACCCGGCGGTCTCACTCCAATGCGGCTGCCACAGAGCAGCCCACCACGCCACGACGAGAGCGGGATCCAAAACTACGTAAGTGGCGAAGCCTGCCTCCTCACCGACATGTCTTCGCTTTGCAGCAGACGCGCCAGGGTCTTCTTTGTGTGCTTCTCCAGCGGAACGTTCCGCAACTCCAGCTCCGACCAGATCGACTCGCTGTCCAGGCCTGCAAACATCAGCCGGCCATGTCAGACAAGATAAACGTCCTATTTTAGGCAAGGCCGCAAAACGAAGGTTAGGTAGAAAATCCTGGCCACATGTAACAAACGAGACAAGAAAGTGAAAAAGAAGACGGCATTGGAGGGGGATAGCGAAGAATGATACACGGCGGGACGCGTGGGCACGATGCTGCCTTCGTGGACCCTGACTTGGGACACGGCGACCCCCCGACAGAAGACCTCTGGATCACGTGGAATAGAAAGAACAACCGCTCCCCACAAATCAAGCTGTCCGGGCGATTCCACGACTGCTCCCATCTGAGAACTCCGAACTCTGGTGTGTACTCTCGATGGCGGTTCCTCACGGCGAACCTGTACCGTACCTATTCGTCGCGTGAAGGCGTCCGGACTATGTACAACAGCAGTGGTACTTCAAAGCGCCGTAATGCTTTTAGTGTGATTATCGTGTACCAAAGGGTGCCCGTGACACCAAGTGCCTGTCCAAATATGTTTTGATCACGCGTGCATGAAAGGTTATACCGACAACATCCGAGGTCACCATAGCACCGTCGCAACCGAGCCCTGGGAACACTCATCAACTCCACCACCTACACGGAAGACGGCAACACGATGGCTTGCTCACCTTGGACATGAAGCTCTTCCAGAGGCCCGAACGGCTTCCTTTGGGCCTCGCACTTTCTCGCTATGGAGAACAGGCTGCGTAGGACGCTCGTTAGCTCCTGGTCACCGGTATATACCGCAGAGATTTAGTCAGGAAAAGCAGTGAAGGTGGGACGAAGGCGGCGAGATACAGGATCGGTCGATGTGGTCTGCCACAGCCCCATGTTGGCTTGAGGGGATATCGCGAATACCCATGCCGAGGTTCATAGACTAAATCAACTTTCAGAAGGCTAGTCGCAGTTGTTAGCTGGCCATAGCCTTCCCTTAGGCCACTCCGTAGAGCAGTCAACGTGTTGGTTAAGCAGTAGAACGTACGGCAGTAGCGGAAGCAGCAGCGGTGGCTGGCCTAAACAAAACGCGTCACATGACGGCGGTGGTCCCTGTTACCGCCGCCATGCCTTGCGATTCTCTGGCGTTTCTGTCATTTAGCACACGTACCTTTGCGATGGTCTCATTCGCTTGGAAGAAGTCTTCTGGTCTGCTTGCCGCGAGAGTGAGACGATCAGCCGCCTGCTGGAGGTCTGTGGTGTGGTCGAGGGCAAGCATTGTCGTGGCAGCAGCAGCAGCAGCAGCAGCAGCAGCAGCAGCAGGCTGCGGCGTGCCAGTACCGCTGGCTCCCTCCAGGACGGGGGAGGTCTCGGCAGCTCTTCGTCGCTTCGCCATGTGTTTGGTCAGTGCGCACGTACGAGAGAGGTTAAGGAGATCACCACAGCAGGACGAAAGGGTTGACAACCTCCGGCACAGCCAGCCAGCAGCGGTGTCGAGCTGCTGCGTGTGTGTGTGGCAGGCGGCGGGCGCGGACGCGGCTGTACGCCGTGCTGAATCCACGGAGCCCCCTTAATTCCGCCGCGTTTTTACCTCAAAGTGACCGTGCTTGTGGTCAGCTGCCTGTGCAGTGGTTGTTCTCCCTGTCGTCCCAATTGCGCTCACCACCGCCACCGCCCACTTGGCGGAGCGGGCATCCCTTCTCCTACGTATCACGAAAGTGTTACAAGGTTATTATTCTTGGGGGCGTGGAAGATAAGAAGCCAAGCACCACACTGGAAGATTTGCTGCGCTGGACAAGAGGCAGCAAGGGCGGGCGTGCATGTTTTTCGGGTGGCCAGGTCGGCGGACTCCAGCTCTCTCCCTCGGTGCCGCAGGTCTAGCCTGAAAGCGCACGCCGCCGGAGCGTTGAACCTTGGCCGCAGCCTCTGGCGCAGGTTCCACCCCGGCTGCTAACGTACAGCTTTCAAGCCCAGTACTCGCCCCCAGCCTGAACGAAAGAGAACTACAGCAGTAGAGCGGCCAGATCGCGTTCTGCAAGGTTAGATTTGGGGGTCGTCGAGAGCGGCGCTGGCCAAGGTATGGACTGGACTCCGGCTGCCGTCGGTTCTTCGAGCTCTTCAGCAGCCAACTACGGAGAGTCTACGGGAATGGTAAGAGCGTCCCCAGATGAGATGATGGTGTCCGCTTCCACCGGTCGGAATGTAGCTCCTCCTCGAGACCCGGCAGATTTTCCGCACGAACACTCTGCGACCGCAGCGGGCACCCCGTTAGGAGGACAATCGGGGCAGCGGGGGCGGGAGGGTGTGGTGGCGCACCAGGGGGTTGGATCCGGTGCAGCGGTAGCGGTCCCGTCGAGGAATCACCGACCCGAAGGAGGGCGTGATCGAGAAAAGACGCTCCCGGCGTGGATGGCCGCGGGCCCGGCGGCTTTGCCGGACGGGCGCCAACAGCAAGTAACACCTGTTGCGAATGCTCCAACACAGACGCCTCGACCAACCGGATTGTACTCATCTCGTCCACAGCAGGGTGCTCCGAGCAAGCAGAAAGCGGGTCCAAGTGATGGCGACAGGAATTCCCGGGCGAACATAAATAATCGAAACAGAAACAACTATGATGAGGAGCCGCATCGATCTGTAGGTGCTGGCGCAACCCCAGACATGAGCACCCTGTATGCAATGGCTCGAGAATCGCGCAATCACACACCTGCACCCAGAACGCCAACCACGGCGGCCCCGAGACCGTCGGCAAATCCACGGTCAGCAGGAAGAGGGCGCGGTCGAGAGAGGACGCTGCCAGCGTGGATGACTGCGGCGGAGGCAACCCCGCCGGGCGGACTCCAACAGCAATCGGCGCCTGGAACCACTTCCGGCGGACGGGTACCCGAACCTACGGGGTCGTTCTCATCTTGTCCACAGCAGACTACCCAAACCACTGCCCACGGCCGTTACAGCGTTAAGAATACATCGAGTGAAGACAACCAAACGGCCAAAGCGGCAGCAACGGGCACCTTCCACGTGGGCGTTGGTCATCATGGGAATCCGCAGCGCCAAAGGCGAGCACCTGGAGGTCAAGGTATCAGCCATGGCATCTTTGAGACACTTCGTGAACAGTACCCGGGATCCGCGGGAGTGAGTATGGCCGGGGCGTCGGGGGCAAGGCCCACTACCCACCACCAGAGTTTGTCCTCAACGGTGGCAGGGCACGGTCGAGGACTCAAGGTTCGGAGGTGGGTGCGTGGTGGGACACGTGATGACGGTACGCCTGGCGGGCTTCGACCGTACGAGGAGGGTCCCTTCGATTCTGTGCCTCGGGCGTCTCGACCGACCGGATCGTACTCGTCTCGCCCAGGACATAGAACTCAGGGCGCGCTCCCGAACAGCTGCGGTAGTAGTAGGTATAAAGCAGGCACGAACAGAAAGGGACGCCGTGCTGCCGGAATCGGCACTCGTCGACCGGAAAGGTCGGCATCCACCAACCCAGAGATTGGCAGTTGGCATACCAACGCTGAGAGAATTGACGGCCAGAGCCCAGTTCCAGCAGGTACGGTTGACTTGAACGGCGCACCCGAGAGAGGGTTGCTGGTGGCAGATCCCTCTTCCCAGCACCAGGAGTTGGCCACGACGGCAGGCGAAGAGCGCGGCGGTGGGCAATCGAGGCCGAAGAGAGGTCGCGAAGAGGAACCAGGGATGGCTTCGACGGGCTCCGTGTCCCGTGCTCGGGGCGGCGAGTCCGGGCGGCAACCAGCAGGGCTTGGCGGGCTGCTGGACGTGATACGCAGGACGGCTAGCATGAACTTGCAGCCCCCCGCGAAGAAGAACAAAGTGGCTCTTTCGAAGAGCAGCCCGCCGAAGGTGAGTTTCTCCAGTTCAAGAGACGAATACTGCGCATTTTTCGTCAGAGCGCGTGATTCGGGCGCCTTTTTGCGAACGGGTACCTTGTGAAGCAGCTGTAGGCGTGTTTCGTGGGTCGAGTGGATGTTCGACTGGTAGGGGTGCTGTGATACCCACTCGGTCGAAGCCTATCTCAGACCAGGACACCGACATTACCTTGCTTACTCGCACTTATTGAATTGAAAAACCAGGTCTTGAGAACGCTTGAACGCTCTCGTGGTTAGGCCGGCAGTCCGTGTATCTGGCTGCAGCGTACGAAGTTGTTGGATACTGCTGTATGTCCCGCATGCCTGTCACCCTCCAAGGGTTCTTTGTTTGTACGCCCCTTGACGGAACGTGAGGTTTTATCATTCCCAAGTTCTTGTTGTTCTCGACTTCCGACCAAGCCATGTTTCATGCGAGTTTTGCAAGTCTACCCTTAATCTCGCTGTGACACAACTGCCTTTAAGTTGGCGGCCGTACCTCCAACCAGTTCTCTGCATCTGTGCCCCGCACGGCCTTGTCGTTGCAGAATCTGGTCGCTACCAGGGCCCGGTTCCAGATCGTTCATCACCACGACGCCCCGAAGCAGCAGCAGCAGTTAGTAGCCCATAGGAGTAAGTTGCCTACCTTGAACACCGCCGGCGAAGCACGACGAACGAGCAAGAGCAAAGGATCATCACGGGCCCCGCTTGCGGGCGCCGCTCTCTCCTCCAGGCCTTCACGTTCCACGACTCCGAAGAAGGTGGTCATTGACGGAAATGATGTCGCGCTTTGCCACCGGGGAGCAGATGGTCAATGGTCTGCGCAGGGGCCCTTGCTGGCCATCCAGGTGGGTGCTTTCTTCGCCAACCCTGACCTGGCCTACCTTCCGCAAGATCCGTAACCCCTGCCCCCCTCTCGTAACATTCACGATCCGCTGATGTAGCTCTTCCTGTCCCTCGAGCTTGACGAGGTTGATGACGTGGGTGAGGGCCTCTTTCAGTCTCGACTCCCCGAAACTGCTGCCGCCCCTCACCGTCTTGTAATGTACTTTTGTGTTGGACCGAGTATGTCATTGGGTTTCCTTTTGGCAGCACTAGAAGCGGGGGGGGGGTTCCGAACGGATCAGGGGTGAAGTGCATGTCTGTTGACTGCCTTGCCTCCGAAAACGTACATATTTTGTTATAGGTTTCTATCAAGAGGTTCCACCGCCGTAGGTTTACAGGTTGCGGCCCTTTTTCAGGAAACCACTGCCACGTTGCAACTATCAACGCAAGCATAACTAGAAGGAGGCTTTCTGGGCGATGTGAGATTGACTTCGCCACACGTGTACGCCTCTCGACCTTGCCGTTCCCAGTTTTTCGAGCAGCGTGGCGTACCGTGCGTGGCCTTCCTTCCTCGTGAACGCATGGCTGGCGTCTCCCCTCGAGATGGTGAGATGGATTTCGGGTTTGTTGTCGTCGTCGTTCGCGGCTTTGGACGCTTGGTGGTGATAAAGCCTTCGACCCACACCGGGTGCTGTTATCATCAAGCACGGTGCACGTGTAATTTTTGGTGTTGAAGGAGCAGTCATGGCAGCGTACGCATCCCTCCAATTGCTGGCGTACTCGTAGTTTGTGGCGTACAAGGGACAGCCATGACAGCGTACACATGCTCCACCCTCCAAACCCGTGTTTTTTACCGACCGGAGAATAAGTTTTGCTTTCACTCAACTCCCTCCTCAGTTGTACGAAAAGGAGACGGAAGTGTACATGACTGAGCTGGGAAAAATACAAGGGAGGTACAGGGAGATGTTTGAGGAATAGAGAGAAGACGGTAGCTGTACTGGGGAGTAGGAAGTGGTTTGAAAAGGCGGGAAAGGATATCATTAGGATAGATTGACTAGGGAAGACATTTTTGAGCCACCATTGGCAAAGTAGGAAGGAACGATTGGCCATCGGTGATCGGTCCTGTGGGAACAATGCTCCGTCCTGTCGAGGACGCGTAGTCAATGGTCTAACCGCTAAGGCACGCTAACATAAGAGTACCACCCCCCCCCCCCCCTCCCTCCTCTGGCGAGTATTACGCATTGGGCCGGCGTATAGTTTGCTGCCGTGGTGGCTCGCGGCAATTCGTTGTTGCCTGTTGCGTACAGTGTAGGCGCCATTGTTTGTACCTGTGTGCCGCGGTTTACTGCAAATGTTTTGTGGTCGGGAATCGCGCACTGCGATTTGATTCCCATCTGCAATTCCACGGTGGGGATGCCGCGACGGTGCGCGTCGGCTGTCTTTGTGATACATGTGGAGCACACGAGATGCTTTGCTTCTTGACTGTTCTGCTTGAGACGTGAACACCATTCTCGTAGCTGGCAATGCAAACTACCTCACTGCCGTTATTGCATGTTCCCTCCTGCTGTCGTTCTAGAACTAATCGATAACTCGACCTGTCACACCTCTCAAGAAACTCAAAGTGTGGCGTTGCGCATGCATTACAGAGAGGAAATGAGTTGACGGTTTAACGCGCCGTTTTTTGGCAAACCTCACAGCATAAGATAGATTCAACACGCGATTGACTGTCATGTTCTGTACCTCATCTTGGCCCGCCGTGGCGCTCTTTCGTCTTGCTTCTGTAACCCCCGTGGTCGACCATTTTGTTCGTCGAAACCCCCTTGTTGCCTCTTCGGTCACATCTTGCCTTGTAAGCCTATTGGGACCGTTGCTGACACAACTCGAGGTTTTGTGACCGTGGTCCAACACTGCGCTTGGCTCGTTATCGACAGCAGCGCTAGGCTTAGCTTGGACGCAACTCGTGTTGACACGGTTCAATGACCCTCGTGCTGCTATCCTCGCCCGTGGCAGGGTGCAACACTGCGTTTCAGGAGGCAAGGGCCAAAGGAGCGATCTCCGAAATCCCCCGGGGGGAGAAGGGCGACCTGTTCATCCTCAAGTGAGTTCAAGAGTTTGCCCCCCGACATTTCCTGTACGACTGCTTGAGTTGGCAACAAGAGCAACCTTTGGTATGTATCGAGGGTGACTTTTCCATGCAATTTTTCAATGACGCACATGGCAGAAGCTACCTCTGGGACGCATCGAGAGTGACTTTTCCACGCAATTTGTCAAAAAGGTACTGGAAAAAACTAAAAAGGTGACTTTTCCATGCAATTTTCTCCCGAGGTTCGTTACCGTAGTTGGGGCTTGATCGACAGGTGTGTTGGACCCGGCTTGGAAGTCTCACCTCCGGGAGAATGCAGGTTGGGTGACTCTTGGCAGATACGTTTCAAGCAGCGTTTGTGAGCATGCAAAACGACGCTCGCCAGACAACAACTACGTGTCACTGCGATGAGGAAGACCTACAGCCGCAGCGGCACGGCCCTTGTCGCCGTAAGGGACTGTGGCCACTGCTGCTGTGAAAGTACTTCCGCGACCAAAGAGAGATGTCAACATCTATACAACGTTGTTTAACCTGTTGTTGTTCACTCCTTGGCTAAAGGGGCATCTTTTTCAACTAGCATGTGGACACATCGCTCTACTAGCAGCTTTCTGGTGGACAATTACGTCCCGTAGATATACGGCTTGTAAAACCTTTGTCGGTAACCCTTTGGCGCTGTCGGCTGCTCCACCCTGCGACAGGTACGCCATCGAATCGAAAGTCCACGTGGTCACCAACAAGAGACTTAGCACCCACGCCGCCAGCAACGAGACACTAGGTGGGTGACGGTGCGCCCTCGTGTGCGAATAGCTACAAGGGCGACGCTTCTTATCGCTGTCGAAAAAGTGAAAACGCCGCTAATTGACATGCACCATCTGGTAGTGTGCTGGCGCATCCGGAAGAATGGCGTCCAAATTCTTTGGCTTCGTCAAAACAGCAACATCGCGAAACGCTCCCGTGCGTGCTGTTGACGCTGAATCGTTGTGCATGTTGGGTAGCCGTTGAAGCAACTAAAGCGCGGACGCTCTCAAAACTGACTCGCAACGTTCACTGGTTGGGCGGCATTCTTGCGTACCGCACTGCTCTGACCGTTGTGCGCTACAAGCACAGTCGACGCACCCCGTAGACATTCGTGCTGGTGCTGGACTTGCGACCCACCCCCCTCCTTCACCGGAGCCCGTGCACGCCACTGTACCTTTGTACCTAAAGTTGTGCTTTCCTTTCCCCGCTCTTCCTTCCGCAGCTTCTCTAGGGCAGACTAAGCAAGATCTACGGGAGTATCTTTCCCACTATCATGTGTGCTACACGTTCGTCCGAAACGACTTCAAGCCCGATCCGGAAACGCCTTTCATCAGGGTAAGTCTGTGACCCCCCCTGCTTCGACCGGTAATATTCGCCGGCCCGGTTTGTGCGTTGGTATTACCCGCGCGTGATGGTTTTCCTACTACTACGCATATCCGTGTGGTGGGAATCGCTCCTTGCTTGAAAACGGGGTTTTCGAGGCCGTTCATTGATGGGCCATCTGTATCTGGTCATCACTTGTGCGGGTTGGGTATGGGAGAGGGGGCTTCGTCGTTTTCTCGCGGAAGACATAGGGTTGTCTTTTTGGCAGGCAGGAATTTTTGCGAACATGGTACGGCAGCCGCGCTCGCGGATGCACGTACGGTAGATCTATCCACCAATCTGAAAGCAACCCACAGGGGGGCACTTCAAGGCCATTGGTCTTGATTTTTACTTTTTGCGAGGTGTTGTCGGTATCGTCTGCCGTTTTTTCCTAACCGCACTCCCACCACCCTACCCTCTCATCGCACCCGTCGGCAGATGCTCCTAAATCAGGCTCCAGCTGGAAGCCGAGTGACCCACCCTAAGGCGAAAGGGGGAGGACCGACAAAGCCTCCCGCCCCGCCCCCCCCTCCCCCGCGCCCCCCGGTGTGAGCGGGCGCCACACCAACTCTCTGTGCGGGCAGGCATGCTGGGGTGGCATCAATGTAAATTTTATCGTATCACTGAATTTGGAAAGTTACTTGGCGTTCAGGACGATAAAGATGGCTGGAGGAATTTCTTCCTATTCTAGAGGTTCAAGTTTGACTACAGCAAAGGTCAAGTCTTAAAATCTCGCTGACGCTGCCTGCGGCTCTGCTCCGGCAACTTGGAGAGTGAATTGCGTCAACACGTTGTTAGCGTGAGGCACAATCGCCGGGGGAAAGTTTTGCGAACACTTTTGCCAACAACTGCAGCACGCACGGATGCAATGCCAATGTTAATGTTGTGCCACCAATCCTTTTTTTGCGGCGGTATCAGCAGGGCACATCTCCAAGAGTTCAGAAGAAGGCAAAAAATACACCCAATACAACATTGGGTGACGCAATGTGGGTGCCCGTCGAAAAGATGAACGCTCCCTGAATTGCGTGCGAAGAAGAGTCTCGGCTGTGGTGGAGCATTATTTCCGGTATGCGTCTCCCTCGTTGATTGGTCCTCTTTCGTCCAGATTCTCGACAACCGAACGTGCTGTGATTATGTGTGAGGTGTGTTGTACTTGTTCCAGATTATTCTTGGCTGTGAAGTGTTCGGCGTGTGACTTGCGTTTGGCTCCTGTGATCGAGCGTCGTTCCTACAAGTGAAGAGAAAAGCCTGCGTATCCGCGAAAAGGTGTCTTGTGTGCACCACTTACTGACTTGGTGTCTATATGACTTGTCGGTGTCTGTTTGTACTTGTCGCTTGCTGGCGGACCTCGAGGCAGGACGTGCATCTGCGGTATGCTAGATATCGAATGGTTGCTAGTGGTGGATCCATCTCGTCAATCGATGCCTAAACGTCCGTTGCTCAATTGGAGGTATTGCTGCAACATGCGGCGGGTTCGGAGTGTTGCTGTCAACGGCTCCTCCTGTTGTTGGTAGTCGAAAAGGGATGGGACAGCATTTTGCCGTGCACCACCCGCGTTGTTTCCCAGGAAGGGGGCGTGGAACCCAGTATGACAATTATTCGGGCGGGACTCTTATCAGGTCGAGCTATGCGCGGGAACTGAGATGGACGTCTCTCGCTTTGACCTGGCCGGAGGAACAGTGCAACAAAAACTTTATCTAAAACTCCGCATCCATGTGCGTCTCCATTTCCGAAAACCAAAGTAGGTTGATGAAGGCACAGCACATAGACACGGGAGGTCGGTCATGATTTTGAACTGAGGGTGGGAAACTGGTATCGTCCTACCCAAAATCCAGGCTCTTGTATCGCCCCACTTCAAGGGAGAAATAGGCATTTCCTTCGCTTCTCCAGCCCGGACACCGAAGGAAGCCGTGCGATCAGTCAACGACCGTGACTCGCCTCGTCGGGTACATTTATGACGTAGAACATCGGTGTGCCCCGAGATGTTTTGCCTGCTGCATCCGAGCTTTCTAAGACTCCCCCCTTTACGCACTTCTGCAGCACACACCCCATCAAGAACTGGAGGGTGCAAAAACGCACGAATACATTTCGAACATAAAACCAATCTCATAGCACAGCCTATTTTAGCCCCCGTTAGGTTCCGTCCCTAAGGGCGGACAAACAGCTTAGCGCCCGCACTTACGGATTTGGCAGTAAAGAAATTGATATAGCCTCCAAGACTTTGAAACCCAAGAACTGAGCACCATGTTGTGAGCTCGGTTAAACCCTACGCTAAAACCGATATAGCGGTCATTCGTCACATAATCTCGAGGAAGTAGGAACCCCAGTCTCGGCCAATACTTGTAGGTTCTTAAGCTCGAAGAGATATTACCGTGCGGAAGCCGTCGCCATTCCTACTGCTCTCGATAAGAGAGAGAGGTTTCGATTTGCATTCGCTGTGCGCCGTGCGCCAGTTGGTGTTTGCGCAGGAGCTGGTTCCACTGTAGGTTCAATGTCTATGTACCCTATCCTTCAAAATATTGACGTCATTCCCCATATCTACAATACAACCCCTACATGAATATACAGGCGGGACACATGCACACAGCTGCTCCTTGGATACATACACAGAGAGAATGCATGGGGCACCAGAGTTGGACCCCGGTCAGGATGGGCACGCTGCTTCTCCCAGCAGTGCCTACGCCACGAGACGTTTGAAATCGTATCCCTCCTCTCGGTGGTCGCAAAATCGGGACACTTGTGCCATCGACGCCCGAGGCGGCACCCCTGTTGGTCCAAGCATGTGGAGGGTACCGGGCAACACAGGGCAACGCACAGCATGTCAACAAGAGATTGCTTTCCAGCTGTCATGCCGGAGCGTAGTGTTTCATTTTCTTGCGACCACCCACAAGGTCAAGTTTTCCAGGTGCCTTGGGTGTTTCTTGATCCCTGCCGAAATCTCAGCAAGCTGGCAAACAAGCGCAATTCTTCAAACGGGTAGCACCAACAGACGCTCGAGCACATTAAGGACCGCGGTCCAAGACAACAACTCTAGGGTGTCATGTGAAAACAAGTATTCGTCGTCGGCGGACGTTGGGGGTTTCGACCGTTTTCTAATGTCATCTCCCCTTTATCCCGCTCGTTTCGTTTTTTCTCGAATGGTAGACAGGACATCTTCTTTCTAGGGTAATCCGAACCCGAAGGGCTGGCCGCAAGTTGATGCGATCCCTTCACAATCTGCTGAGCGTGTTTTTTGGTCCCCCACCAGTCTCAGGGTGGGAGGCAGAATCGAACACGGGTCTCCGGCCACCAAAATCAGACCACGTCTTCGTCCTCGACCGACGTTGAGGAGAGTGGACACTTGTCGAAGGCCATCTTCACAGGCCATGGAACAACAATGGTATAAAAGGAGAGTGCTATCGGTAGCTTATAATGCTCGACGTCCACCGCCTTCCCCAGTTTTTTTCTGCAGCTGGAGCGATACAGGGAAACCCGAGTCGCGGAGAAGAGAGGAAGCAGGCAGTAGCGCTTACCGAAACACGTCTAAACGATTTCATTGTCCCCTCTGCCAAGACGACTGCTGCTATAGCCCGGAAACGATCAAGCCGGGCACATATTTGCAACAACACACACCAACAAGGCTAGCCGCTACGTATCAATATGAGCGAGGAAGAAGGGGACCACGAAGAACGCTCGGCAGCTGGCGCTTCGAATGGAGCCCCCTCTCCACTGCCAACGTAGCGCTCTCCGATGAGAAGAACGGTTACCAGTTGACTACCAGTCCAGTGGCCATCGTGCGTTTCGACACTCCCAAGCCTTTCGCGAAACAACCCACCGCGCGCTCACCTCCCAGGCCGCGGGGTCACAAATAGGACACGATGTTGCGCATGATGCCCTCTTCCTCGCACACCACAAGCTCGAAGATGGACTGACCTGACCCGGCATCAACGGTAACGGCTGTACCCGGTCCCGTGTCGAAAGCGGGCGGTGGCTGGCGCCAATGCAACAACGGCAACAGTCGCCGACGCCGCCACAGCCTGTCTTGGGGTGCATCGGCCAGCATGCGGCAAATGGTTTCTCCAACTGGAGCGATTGTAGGATCTGCCGCCTTCTGCTCCTCGGTCATTCTCTCGCAAACCATGTTCTCCGGCGTGAGGTCATCGATGTCTACCGCGCGCTCGTCCGCTCCGTGCTGCAGCAACCGCTTAACGCTCCCCGCATTCAGGCTCGCGCAAGCCTCGTGCAGAGGCGTGCGGTTGCTGATGTTCCCCCTGGCCTCCAGTTCCGCGCCGCCGTCCACCAAGATCGATACAACCATCGCGTTCCCCGCGGAGGCAGCGACGTGCAGAGGCGTTCTGCCGGCGCTGTCTCTCGCCTTCAAGTCCCCTCCCGCGCCCAGCAGGAGGCGCACGCAGTCTCCGGAGTCCAGTCCGGCCGCCGCTGTGTGGAGAGGGCTTTGCGCCACGCCGTTCGAGCCCGAGACGTCCGCGCCATGCTGGAGCAGGACCTGGACGACGTCTGCGTGTCCGCACGCCGCAGCAAGGTGTATCGGGCACGAGCCCGAGTGATCGCGAGCATCCAGCGTTGTCCGTTTTACCAGAGACACGGAGGGCACCAGCACGGGCCCTTCCATGCTGGCCTGCCACTTGAGGCTAGGCGGCTCCGGCACCATCCCGCTGGACGATGGGCTTGCCCCACCCAAGGGTGGTGCCCTGCCGTCGCCGCTGCTGAGGAGCTGCTCAGCCACGCCTGCGTGTCCCGCCACCGAAGCGCGGTGAAGCGGAGTGTGCCCTTCCAGGTCACGCGCATGGAGGGGGGCCCCGGCGGCCAGTAGCTGCCTGACGCCCGCGAGGTTGCCGTCCGAAGCCGCGTCCAGCAGACCCGCACCCAAGAACTTGGACCAGCGCTCGCGGCTTGAGATTTGGTATGCCTCGGTCACGATGGAGCGTAAGCCTGGCCAGGTGCTGTGGTCGATCCACGCGTCCAATTCGGGCGGTTGTTCACCTGGAGGAGGTCCGTCGCACTCGCTCCCAGCAACCTGCTGCGGCGGAGTGGAATATTTGTCGCGTACATGAACGGCGGGATGGTGGTCATGAAAGTCTACGCGGCTTGGGCTCCATGCAGCTGATCGTATTTTGGCCCTATCACTTGAAACGCATTACACACGCTACCGCTGCTGCTGTTGTGTGGCGTCCACATGGAAGAAGCCTTTACGACAGGTACGTCTACACTTACAACCACCGGAGTTGCGGATTCATTCCGCAACACGGAATTTATAACTGCTTGACTGATCGCACACCTCCTTGGTTCTCCCTCCGCATGATCCACCTAGCGCTGCCCCCATCGTTTTTCCTCTCCCTATTGCTCTGCACCCATCAGATGCCCTGCGCGCTACTCGTGCCAGTGCATGTGTTGCGGTGCCAAGGCAAAGCACAAAACTGCAGAGGGAGCTCCGCGTGTGAAACGTCAACTTGAGGGTACCCTACGTACGGACTGCGTACCAGTCGCTGGTCGCCGCAACCAATATTGTTGCCCTGCCGATCTGCTACTTTCGCCCTGTGCGAAATGGTATTATCTGTAGCGTTCGTTATCGCGGTGGCAGCGTTACGTCCATCCGTCTGTGGCGTTCGTTTCGCAAGCTCATTCCAGCCCGTACCACCCTTTGAGTCTTTTTGTTTCGGACACAGCAGGAGCGAGCCTAGAGCTCTGTGCAAGGAATTCAAATTTGGAGGCAAGACGCACCGGCTTCCTACTAGGGCGAGAGCTGTGAGGGCAGCTGCTGCGGGGCAAAGAGGTATTGAAACGATGCAGCAGCAGCCGCTGGGCCGTGCTTGCGCTGTTGGAGTGGCTACGGCGATGGCAGGTTAGTTTTTTTTTGGAAATTTTGGACATTTGGTCGGTCGTCAAGGTGTCATGTTTATCGCAGGGTGTGTCAGTGTGTGCTGAACTGCTAAAAGCGTCATGAATGGATTCAAGATCTGGGTTGATGACTGATGACTGTACGCTGTTTTCGAAAACGACCGGAAAGCACCCAGCGGTCACACCCGAGAGCGTAAGACCACATGTAGTGTTGCGCAAGGAAAAATGTCCTAGTTGTTGCACGGTTGGAAGTTATCTACCAAGATATCAGTCCGTCCAACACAACAGCTAGCTGTACCTCCCCACAATTTGTTCTCAAAACTCAGCACCAAGAAATAAGAACACCCGCAGTTGTAGCTCAAAGAATTCAACACCAACCGGCGACCCGGCGGCTTCCCGCATTTGTCATATCCTGTTCGGCGCACTTTATTCCACCAGGCGTGCTCATCCCTCGGTCAATGCCGCAGCTCTCAGCCCTGCCGGCACTGGCGTCGGCAGAACCCTCGTCGTACTGGCTAACCCGCTCGCTCTTCTTGAGGTGCCTCGGAGGCGTTTTTTCGGTGGCGTTTTCGGTGGCTTTGCGGCAGAACCCGGCGCTGATAGGCGACCATGTGAGAGCCGCCGTTCGCTTCGGCGCTCTGCTTTTCCGTCTCAGACCCGTTACTCTTCAGCTCTCTGTCGGAATGTTGCTGTTTAACGCATTCCTTTCGTGTCTTGCCGGCTACCCTGCGGTGCCGGGCCGGCTTCGTTCGGGCGTTGTCTGGCCGGTCAGTGTTGGTTTTCTGTCTGCGGCCTGCGACGGCAGCAAAGCCCCAGAACCTGTTTCCGAGTACCTTGGTGCCAACGTGTCAATCATTGACGTGGGGTCCTCCAAAGCTTGCTTGTCACGCTGTGTGCTATCTACTTATTCCTCTGACCGTCGTTATGTCGCCTCGTGCCTCTGTTGGTGCCCATGCGTCCCGCCACGCTTCCCGCCGTCCGTGCGGGGGTGTCTGTCGTCTTCGAAACGTCCATGAAACCGCCTGCACAGGGAGTGACGCCCGCGAAGGACTACTTGAAGAGGGTCCTAAGGAACGGTTTTAAGGGCGACCTACGCGCGGCCGCGAAGAGATTGCCGACGCTGTTCTGGTTGCTTCCGCCCGAGGTTAGCCCGGACAAACGTCCACCAGACACTAGCGCTTGACATTGCACGCTTCGTGTTTCGTACCCTTGACAACGACATCTTAGCTTGCATCGGCTTTTTCTACGCGATAAAGCAGGCTGGGAAACATGCGGCGAGTTTCTCCTTGAAGAGCACGAACTGACTCTGTTTGATACCATAATCGCTGGCACAGCAGTAGTTTCGGAAAGTTTTGTACAATGTTGTTTGTACGAACTGAAGTGAGTGGCGCCGACACAACGGCGATTCCAAGTTAGGTATATACTCAGTTGTCCTGGAATTTCCCACTTGTGTCCACCAAGGCATGGGTCAGGTCACTCTCCTTGAAGCGGCTTGGGCCGCGATTGCGATATTCCTTCGGCTAGTGTGTGGCATGATATGTTCACATTTTCCTAGTAAGTAGACCACCCGTTCAAGCTGTCCCTTCACCGTAAAAACACACCTACACCACTTGTGCGACTACTGTCTGTCGTGAACCGTGCCCTCCCTCCGCCCCTGCCCCCGTACGTGGCGTCGGAAGTGTTTTCTACGCTATTGGTTAGAAGAGAATCCCAACAGGCTAAAAGTGTTTGAACGGTCGGACTGGAAATACGTGTAAACGCATCGTACGGTTCAACATGAAAGGGGGGTTTACCGCAGTAGATTTATAAGCAGCTTATAGCTGCTGTTGCGAAGAACATTGACGCATGCGCAAAAAGCCTGTCTGCACGTGTTTCTTGAATTTGCATCGATCTCGCCAACTAACTGACAAATGAAATACTTCACTCGGTACAGCGGGACAAAAAACGCGCGCAGCAGTGTTTCTAGTCAGCGGGCCCGGCCGACCTGCGTGCATGTGTTTTCGGATGTTTGCCTTTTCCTGCGTTTGGCTCACAGGCTGCTCTCGACCCGTGGCTCAAGCGAACGGCGGTTATCGGGCTGTCCCTGTCGATCCTTGTAACGCTGCTGGGTGCTGCCAACCTGCCGATCATCCTCGCGCTTTGGGTGCTGTACCACACGCTGGCCAACGTGGGGCAGCACTGGCAAGTGTGTTCGCAGCTCTCTAGTTCGCCCTTTGTGTGTTGTATGTTGAGCAGGCGTATCTCTTGGTCTGCCACGGGAAGGGCTAACGATGTTGCGTTTTCACCGGACCACGACATTGTTTTCGGCCATGCAGCTCTCCGATCGACCGGCTATGCAGAGCTGAATTTACCGCGCGCAATTGCCGAGTTGATCCCCTTGGCCAGTGCCGCGACCAGCAACTCTTCCTCAAGTATTCGCGGCGAATCGTTTCGGATCAACAGGGCTTGCGCAGTTCTTTTCTCTGGGTCTCTTATCCTTGTTTGCCTACGTGAATTCACCTTTTGCGCCTTACATGGGGATAGACCGGTATTTGGCTTCTTGTTTGCACGTGGAAGAGGAGGATAGGTCGATAACCAATCTGCTGCCAACCTTTCAGCTCTCTCCGCACTCCTTGCTGATTTTTCAGCGCATGGTCGGCACCTTTAACCCCGAAATCATCGCGCAGATTTGCGTTTTTTGGGCAACATGTAGGCGTTTTTCAGTCTTCCCGTCTCACTCGAATCCTTCGTCGCCGCACCGCATCGCTGTTGATCACTTGCCCCGCCCCCCGCTCCAGGTACGGTTTCGGCTGGGAAAACCAGCTCCTGGAGACGGCGTTCCTCACCGCGTTCGCGGTGCCCCTCCTATCCCTCCAGCCTTTTCCGGCGACCTGCCCACCTCCCGCTGTCATCCCCTGGCTGTACAAATGGCTTGCCTTCCGCATCATGTTCGGTGCGTTCGAGCGGAGCGAGGGGGAGGGGGCTTCAGTAGTACCGGTTGAGCGGTGGCGGATGCCAGCTGTTTCGTTCCTATGAAGGTGGTGGACAAATCGAGGCACTACGGAGGTCCCCGCCCCGCCGCGGTATCTGCTTACCGCGAGTGTGATCGGTGGTGTCCTCGTTTGACGGTGCAGAGTACGTGCCTGGTTTTGCTTGCGTAGTGCTCGGACGGTCGGGGCAAGCGAGCTGGCGCGTGTCCGCTTATTCCTTTGCGAACAAATACCCCCCCCTACAGACGCCGCTCGCAGGCAACGGGGGGTGGGGTAGGAGGTTGCTTTTGTAAACCATGTGTGCTGCCATTGGATTCCTCTGGTACGACCACCCGCGGAAAAGCACTGTTATAGAGTACGGTACGGTCACAGTTACGCTAAGGTACTCTTGTACCACGTGGAGGTGTTGAGGGTGCTTTTATGTGTGCGCCTCTACCCAGCCGAATAGATGTTTGGCGTACACGCAACTATTTCAGGTAGTCCCGGTGTTTCGTATGTGTACCGATGTACCCTCGCCGCCCTTTTCTCCTCGTTGATCTTGGCGTGTTTGTTGTGTCTATACTGCTGTGCGGAGAGCAGGGGCGGGTCTGATCAAGATCAGGGGGGACAAGGTTTGGAAGGACCTCACGGCGATGGACTACCACTACGAGACGCAGCCGCTGCCGAACCCGATCTCTTACTTCCTGCACCAAGCGCCCAAGAAGTTTCACAGGTGTCCATGCCGGCCAGTCCTACGGCGTCTTGTGTACCTGGTCGGTCCAGCACTACCGTTGCTTTCTTCTCTCCACGTCCGACATGCCCGTGGTTTGTGCCACGCAAACATTTCTGCGCTGACCTAGGTGCCAAGAAGATGGCCTACTCGCAAAAGCTCTATCGAGAACATCTGTCAACAATCTCAGCAGTGGCAGATGGGAAGGCTAGTGTGTGTCCTGTTCCCGTACGCGTGTCTACGCATGTGATGCGCCATATGTGCACATGTGCCATGTTTGCACATCCTTAGAGCAACTCTTGTTGTTTGCTACGTGGCGGCAGGTTTGAGACGGCGATGAACCACATCGTGGAGCTCGGGGCGTCGTGGCTGCTGCTAGCACCGGTTCGTGCCCTGAGCTTGCTGGCCGGGGGGATTCAGACCGGTTTCCAGCTCGCCATCATCATCTCTGGTAACCTGTCGTTCCTGAATTACTTGACAATCCTCCCCTTCATCTGGTGCTTCGATGACAGGCGAGCGAAAATGACAAATGGGGCAGGTTCGGATCTGGATGTGCTTGTAGGTTGGTTGGACATGCTGTAGCTCCGCTTGTGGCGGTGGAAATGGTGGGAACGATGAGGGGGATCTCTCTCCAAATGTTCAGAAGCTTTTTTTTTTCGTCGTCGACACTGGACAATATGAGGAGATCGCGCGTTCGAGTCGAACAGTCCATTCGCAAGTATTTTAGGATGGTTCTGCATCTCCCACCTACGTCTACATGTTGACACTTCAATATGGCACCGCGCCCGAGGCATTCAACCACAACCAAGCAAATCCAAACACCTGGTCATTGGCTTGGTTTTGCGCACCCTCAGCTAGGAGTAGGAATGGTAAATCCGTCCCCGAAACGGGAGCGCGATGATGACCGAAGGGCGAAGGCGAGCAAGCAAATGACCCCCCCCCGCATCGTGCTTCGTATGGTGCCGGCAGGGCCTTGGCATGGCTATTCCCCGGGGCCGCACGAAGCGTTGCCGAGGCCGCTTCGGTCGGCGTGACGCCGCCAATCATTCGCTCGTTCGCGAGCTGGTTTCTGGTGGGGGTGGTGGGGTGTCTCTCCGCGCCGGTGGTGCGAAACATGGCATCGAAAAAGCAGTCCATGAACCGGGCCTTCGAGCCCCTGCGGATTGTCAACACGTACGGTGCTTTCGGCAGCATCAGCAAGGTGCGCAGCAGTGCCATGGTGTTTATCTCGGACCCGGCATTGGTCGCATTTCCGTGCCTTGTTTTTTTACGAGGCTGTACATCGCCAGATGTTTTCCCCGATGCCGGCTCGTCCGAGACGGCGGGATACGCCGCCCTCGGACGCGTTGCGTGCAGCCTGGGCGTGACAGGTGTTTTTCGTGTGCGGGCGGTGTTGGCATTGGCAGGTCGACGGCGTATTTTCGACTTTCTCTCTTGTGGTCATGGTCTGGGGTCACTCGGGAAGCTCGCTAGCGTCCGCCTTGCGGCTTTTGCCGTCCTGCTAGATTCCGGCACAACGTGGGACGCCACAGTGACAAACCCCGGCTTCCATTCGCGATGTGTTTCTACTGTAGAATGTTTTGGGTAGAAACTGAAGGCTACGAATGAATCGTTAAAACTTGAGCAGGCTCGACCGGAGATCATCATCAAGGGGGCGTTGGAATACGACGGAGAGAACACGGCATGGCGAGAGTACGAGGTCAGTATTGACGTTTGTTTTTGTTCGGGAATGTAGAGGGATTTGCGGCGACGGCCGGCTACGTAGAGGGAGGTGCCAAATGGCAATGGATCCCTATCTGTTCTCGTGCAACGCTAGCCTTTAGGTACGACGTGTCCGGGACGGGAGAGGTAGGAGCAATTATTCTCTTTCCGCCCTTTTCGCGTACCGACCGCCATAACTGGCTCCCTTCGTTTTCAAACTCGTTTTCAAGTTTATTTATGAAAACTCCGGTTTAACTTTGATAGGTTGCTGCTGCAACGCTTGTGGTTTCTTTGGCCTCCGGGTTGCCGTCCTCGAACCTGACCCTATTTTCCCGCCATCTATTCGCGCTGTTCGACCCATACCTTGCCGGGCTTATGGTGTGTTATCCCTTCCCTATCTCCTACTTCGTTGTTGTGTACGCCTGGACCCCCGTTCACGATCAGTTCCGATCCAAGCCTGGTCCCCTGAGCAGGAGCCTCCCGTGGGTGTCACCGTACCACCGCCGTCTGGACTGGTGCCTCTGGATAGCGGCTCTGGGCCACCGGCGCTTCAGCGCTTGGTTCCCTCGACTCCTGCTCAAGCTTGTCGACAACGACCGCGAGGTGACACGCTGGAAGACACTCTCTGCCGAACTTCGGCTGCGAAACGTATAGACTATTGGTGGAGACGTTGCAACGTTGGGATGGGTGGTTGGCATTGCCTGGTGTGGCTCGGTGGAGGGTGCCCACGGGCTTGTAGAGAGTTGACCCACGAAAATGTGTTCAAGATTTTCTCCGTGGGGCGGCACAATAGAAAGCGGTGCCGGGTCGTGCTTTGCCGATTGGGGGGTGTTGAGCGGCTCGTGCATGAGTTTTTCATGCTGTGGGTTTCATTGTTTGAGGAGGACAGTAAAAGTGTGCTTGGGAGTATCTGGCCGTCGCACGATGCAGTGTTACGTTATCGTTAGCCGTAGAGCAGGTGGTGCTGCAGTGGCCGCATTCGTGCGGCACTGCTGTGCAGCTCCTCCGTTTCAATGCCTGCACCCTTAAACCCCTTGGCCGTACCCTAGACCCTACCTCCCAACACATATCATCCATTCCACACCAACTCGAACCTCAAGTCTTACCCACGCGACCATAATGGACTTCGGCTCGTTCGGTGCCCGTCGTCTACCGTGCCTCCGTGGCAGGTTTCCAAGCTGATGAAGACCAACCCGTTCTTGGGAAAGGAGCCACCAAAGTGAGAGGAAGCCTTGCAAACACCGCACCTTGTTCCGAATATTTTTTGCCATTTGTGTACTTCATTGTGTGTTTATGGTTGAGTGATGACCTGCATAATTCAAAACTTCACCTTCGTGTGATGGTTTCTCGTCCACCGAGCACATCTCGATCTCATGGTTGAGTGATAATACAGTGCATGAATCAAAGTTTCACCTTCGTGATGGGTGCTCGTCTACCGAGCACGTCTCGACCTACAGTAGTTCGTCGCTTACTGTCGAAAGCAGCGCACGATTGACCGTGTCCCCAACCCAACGTTATTTCAAAATATCCGAGCCTTGGGTCCATGTTCTCGTCAAGGTTGAGCCCAGGCCCGATGTCCTCGTGACATCTAAGACGAAAAGCTGAAGTCCCTCCCCGTAGAACTCCAGCCTCTTCGGGGGGGACGCGACGGGCGGCGGCAAAACTAGAGAAGACCAGCATTCCTGGGTCTTGTCAAAAGCCTGTTTTGATGCTTTGACGATCAGGGCATGCATGGCCCACGATGCTGTACGAACACATTTGCGTTTGGGTGTGCGGCTTTCTTTCATTTTTTTAGAGGGAGCGTTACGTGCTGCCTTCTGTCCATGCTGTGTTTCCATCGGCGACTCTAGCCACGGTTGCTCACCTCGTTTTCTTCGAGTGCTGAATTTCGCGAACACTTCGGTGTGGGGGCAGAAGGTTTGGCCCACCTCAAATCACCCACGTAGGCTACCACTTTGTGTCCGCCCCTTTCCGGTTTCAGGTACGTCAAGGCGGACATGTACCGCTACCGGTTCACAAAGTTCGGGTCCGAGGAGAGCAAGAGGGGACAGGTGTGGACGCGAGAGGTGATCGGCAGCTATTGGGGGATGACCAGCAGGGACGGACTCGTCGAAGCCATTGGCCGAAACAGCTAGCCTAGGCGAAAGGCTTGGGATTGGCTCGGCCAGATGTATGATTGCCTGCCTGCGACCACCCGTGGTCTGGACGTTGATGGCGGGACTGCACGCGTTTATCGGGTGTAGAAAGGTTGTTGTGAGAGTCTAGACAACTGCGTGGTGTTTGTGTCATCGGGTGCTCCGCAGCAGAAGATGCGATATTTGTTCGACTTGTGGCATCAGAAGTGCTACGGCGATGGCGATGAAGGAGACAACCGTCGCTATGCACACTACGTTTTCTATCTCCGGGGGTGGGTGGGGGAGAATGCGTGTGTTCTAGTGTGGTTTCCCGTTCCAGGCCGCCTCGCAAGTTGCAATATTCCTTGCCTGGCGCGTCTTCCTCATCCGTAGGGGTTGGTGAGAGATGTGGATGGCGGTTGGAAAATCGGGTAGGTGACAGTTTTTGTAGCCGTGCACAACGGCTCCCACCAGATAGCAAAGCCACCGTTGTTTTTGTAAACGTAGTGGCGCTCTGTCGAGATGTATCAGGGTCCTCCTCAGCTGCCGAAGAAATGGCTCCTGGGTTGGATTTTTGAACTGCTCGCTTGGTGCAAAGTATTCCGTGGTTCCCTACTTTATGCAGCATGCCTCATGGTGTTGAAGGAGCCCTGAACCCATTTCCGCCTCCTGAGATCTGAAGAGTAGATGTTTCGGCAAGGGGCCAGCGGAAGCGTCTCAAATGCACACCCTCGACGCCAACAGCGTAGGAATAATGATTCTGCAATATGAACATGACTAAGCAGCAGCGTCGTTCCCTGTTTCCCTACACGTTTGACGCGCATACGGATTGTTTACAACTCTCCGAACTGGAGTTTCGGTACTTGTATTGTAGCTAAACCTCTTTCCCTTGATCCATCAGGGTTTTCCATGCGCTCGGTATCTCGCTTTCAACGTCCGTGTGCCGAAGCGGGGCGAAGTACTGGTGTCCTAGAAGTCCTTTCAGTGTGATCCCTTCCCTGTGTATTTGCGGCGGGGCATTCGGTCGCATTTGAAAGACACTGAGGGTATCATGCCTTGAGTTGATCAGCCTCAAGTGTTCCTTTCGTCGGTTTAGGTGGGACTATTGGGATGTCTACGTCGCGCACGGCAATTTTAGGCTAACATCTACCACATGTTTTGCTTGAAGCACCGATCTGTGGATTCGCACCCCCATGATACTCCTGTTGCGATTGTTTTCGCTCGGCAAGCGCCTTACCTGGACCCTGCCGGAAGACGCAGCCACGACAAAACGTTGACGAGCATCAGCGACATCTTGTCCTGTGTATTAGATCCCAGCTCCTTGGAGTCTGCCGGGTTGTTGTCCTCCGCCCCGGTCTCATCATCATCTTTGGAGCGTCCAAACCCCAGAAGTCCCTACCACGTGTGAGGTATTGCACGTTTGGTGCGTAGACTATAGTCAAACAGAGGAAGATTGCTGCGTATGCGATGCACCCTTGCGAACTTTCGCCAACTTGACGAACACTCACTATGTTGTTCAGCTCCGCCGACGTGAGACATTTACAACTTCAAGGACAGCCGAACAACAACATCCATGGTCCACGCACCGAACGTTTCCCAGAAATCCCCAATCAGCCGCCCAGGTACATGTACTTGTGGTGGGGTATATGTGGCGCGCTAAACGACTGATGGGACCTGAGGGATGTCCAACGCAACCGTCCCACGGGACGTCCCATGGGTCACACAGTGGGGTGTCCCACGGCCGTCCCGTGGGCCGTCCAACACGTCCCATGGGCCATCCCACGTTTCCCAGGTGGCATGGATAAACGCCAGGGGCTACCAGTGTTTTCTCACGTTTTGGGCTACAGTTACAACAACCCGGAAGCGTCCCATGGGAGTCCTATGGGCAGCGCCTGCCCACGGGCGGGGGCGGGCAGCTGCGATGCCGGTCTCATGTGGCACGCCCATGGGATGCGTGCTCATGCGACGCGTGAGACACCCCAGGGACGTCCTATTATTATTAGTTGCACGTCACACTCGTCCCATGAGCTCTCCATGTGGGGAGTGCCATCGGCCGTTCCATGCACCCCATGGGCCTTCCCACACTCCAATGAGACGCGATTGTGGGATGCCCATGGAACTTCCCATCGGAAGTACCAATATGATCAGGACCGGAAACTGCTCACCTCGAGCGTTTCTGCGAGCCCGAGGCAAAGATCGGTATCTCTCCGCCGCAGCGCAGTCTCCGTCGCTTGTCCTACTCCGTGGATCTCGGCGCCCCAGCGAAGGCCACCCAAGCGCAGCACGCACCCCTTAATTAATAGTGTTCCGCAATTAGTCGGGTAGGAAGAGCAGGTCAGCACAGTCTGCTGATAGATGTTTCTGAGAGAGGCTACTGACCCGAGATCTGCTGCAATCCGAGGCGATATTTTCCAACCAGGTTTCGAGTGGTGCACTTGGGGTGCAAGGCCGCCTACAGTGGTACAGACAAGTAATGTCTGTCGTGATCACAACGCCATACCAAACACGGACAGCACATGCATTTTTTTTTAGGGTATGACAGGTTTGGACCCGGTAAGTTGCAGTGCCCGCCGCCATCAAAGCGTTGAAGAAATGCATCCAGATAACTCTTAACTGCACGCGCCGAGATTCTGCGGTGTTTTCACCCTGCACTGCATTCCCTGAAGCAACTAACGTCAGATATTTTGTCGTATAGATTTCACTTATCATGCCGGGGTCTTCGCCCACCGTAACGTCGGAAAGCGACCCACTTGGCCTGTGGTGCCGAATGGGTGAATGCAGTCGTGAGCATGAAAGTCGGCCCTCGAAACGAGCCCCGGCCGTGAATGTTCGCTGCACACCACGCACCTGTTCGCCTATCATGAGATTGGCCGTGGATATCCGCCTCTCCAACGTAAACGTACTCTGCTCCGACAACTGCGCCACGCATGCAAGAGCACCTCTGAAAATGGTCAGGGCCAGGTACACATTCAAGTCGACGGCGGGCATATGAGATTTGTTCAGGCGAAATTCCAGCTTTTGGAGCTCGTGGGGGTAGACGGCTTTGATAGGACATCCTGCCAGCCGTACACTTGCCAATTCTGGTTATTGTCTGGCATGCGGCAACACTTTATTTCGGTGAGGTTTTCAATACACGAACCTCTCGTGAAGGACAGTTTCGTCATTCAGTGCCCCTCGTTCAGAGCTTCAACATGAGTCCGGACGACCTTTGCGCTGTTTTGGAATATGCTCCACGGGGCTACAACGGTCGCAAGCATATTTCGTACATTTCCCATTGACGCGCTGGACGCTGGGCCGCAAACTCATTACTTGCTTGTGCACAATAGTACACCAACAAACACCTTCACCTAGCCCAATGACGGAAGAGCAGCTCTCCTTCGTGCAAACGCCTTCGCGAAAGCAAGACTGAAGCTGGCCTGCGTTTTTGAATAGTTTGGGGTTGGGAGGGGTTAAGTTTCGAGCGCGAAGAAAGTCCAAATATTTACCGCCCTCGAGACGGGTCGTTGTTACAAGTGCCGACCTGTTCCCCCTCAAAATCCCAACAAGGTATCTTGGCATCGACCTCAACCCAGCAGGCCACCTCAGTCTTCATCTAGGACGCACTCCGGATGTTGGCCGTTCTTTTTTTGAGTAAGGACACCACGCAGCGGGATCGAGGGTTGTCGCACGAGCAGCACGGACACTCGATGCTATGCGTGTGTCTGTGCGAACAGCAGAATTGTCGGGCGAGATTGTTCCCGGCCTGACTTCAAGTAGTGTGTAACTCGAACTAACGGCGGTATCGAGCTACCCGCCAAGCATGCTTGTTGTCCAGGTCGGCTGCCTGACGATCCACAAAGCATCGCTTACCCGGAACCGTTCGAAAGCGCGCCACCCACGACGGTTGATGTTTCAGATGGGGAGATATGTAGCTTGCTCGCTGTCTTGGAGTTCGCACGAAGGGTGACGGTACCATTGATGCACGATATGTCTCACCTGGCCCTAACATACTCGAAGTAGAAGAGCGTCTCATTCGGATCGCGATCAGCAACGCCGAAGGAGCGCAACACACAACTGCCGGGACCACGAGCAAAACGACGGAGAGATGAAAACGAACAGGCCGAAGCAATCCTCACTCATTTCGTGTTGATTCATCGACGACGCGTTGATTCGTGGTTGAAGCTCCTTCGGGGTTGTACATTTGGTCTGTGGGGTCGCTCAGCGGTCGGTCCGTTGTCGTATCCGAGGCCCTGAAGTTCCGCTCAAGATGGCCATCATGATCTTGGACAATACAATGATCTCGATGGAGTGCCGCGTTTTCCTCTTAGTCAGAATCTGAGACGCAGATCAGGTTCGGTCGATGACAATTTCGCAATAGGTTCTCGTCTTACCTGCCAAGGGCCAGCTGCCTGTGGGCTAGGAAAGCTCTCCACAGCTTTTCTCTTGCCGAATATCCCGTCTCTACCTGTACCGGAATACCACGCAACGCAGTAAGGATATGAACATGTCACGGCTCTTGGGAAAGCAGGCCGGCTTCTTTCATAACTCTAGCCATGTAGTTTGACTATAAAGATCGCGAGCAGCAGCATGGTATGCACGATCCACGATGTGAGCCGAAGCACTCCTGCTCGTTTCTTCGTCGAAGTAGTTACGGTATCCACGCGCAATCGTGCGGACTCACGTAGCTTCTCCGGTCGCAGCAATGTGCCCTCTTTCGTTGTTTCCGGTACTCCAAAAGAACACTAGGATCTCAAGAACTTCTGGGCACGCATAAGACGCAAATAAACTTCTCGAGGACGCTCTCTAGATCAGTGACCGACATCTGTGCCTTCGCTAGATTCCCGCATCGCGTGGTATGCATACATTGCTCTAGACCCTTTCACGTGTCGCGCAATAGTCACGACACCAGGGCAGTCGAGGAAAAACGATACTTCTGTCGGCCCCTCAAACCTTAGGCATGGCCACCACTGTGACAGGAAGCTCTTCGTTCGAGTTGGGACGATTGGCAAGTCCTCGTCGACAAGAAATCGCCTCCCTGCCTGCCAGCCCTTGGGAGACTTCCCAAGGGTCGTCCTGGGTACCCCTGATGGCACAATTGTTGAAACCACAAGCGGATTCAATCACCGCGAGATAGACCCAAGAGGAAGAGGATAAACGTCATGTTTCTTCAGTTGCTTGCTATGTGTAAGATTGCCGCGCAGGGGATCGAGGGGGTGCTTGTCATGCGTCGCCAACGCAAGCATTATTTCGGCAGTGGTTGGGTATGCCATTTTCGATCACCATCATCCCCTAATACATTCTTCAGGTCTCACCCGTAGCCGTGGGTGGCGGAATGCTTCCTTGACGCGTTCAGAGCCCCCGGGTAGCTGATGGATTGCACTCTTAGTTTCGCCACCTGCCAGCGAAACAAGGGGAGCCCGCCGTCGGCTTCAATCGACGGCTGGTACGTAGAGAGCGCAATCGGTTCCTACCGGTGCCCTTTCGTCAACAAGTGGTCAGCTTGACAGACCCCAAGAAAGCCCAAAAAGATATTTCCCCCTCAGCACTGTGAACCAAGATATAATCTGCCGCCCGGCGAGGTACAGCCTATACGTAGCTCGGGGTAGCGAAACGATCACCACCCATCGTAGAAATGGGGATATGTTGCTGAGCTACCATCTCTACCTTTGCCGTCAGAATCTCATTGGCGTCGTTGTGCCCACGGACGTGGGTCGATTCTGCCCAGGACATGGAGACTAGAAACAAGTAGGAAAATATCGATGTAGAGTCAAAAAGTCGGTCATGATGGAGACAATGTGGGAAACGGGGACGATGGTGACTGGTCTACGATTCCCCGAGCACCTTCTTATCTACCAATCCGGCATTGCTAGCCTGCCAAACGAGTGGGTTGCAAGCTCCGCCGCTGAGACGATTCTCTCCACTCCCTCTCTCGTCCGCACTTGCACTGCATCCAACGCCACTGCTTTCGTGTGGACCTCCATTAGGTTCATCCGAGCCTTGTATCAACCGCAGAACGCTCTCCGTAATGAAGTCTTCTTTCTGCAGGCCAAAGTATCCAGTTTCAGGCAGAATCAATACAGAATTGCTTGTGGAGACTCGGTCGGCGAAGCAGTTTCGCCCTCGTAGAGTCGGGATACCCACCACGTGTACTGAGACAAACTAGTTGTCAAGGCCTTCAGCATGATGCTCAATGGACCATTATTACGTCAGCGCAGCCAACTGGAAACGGGAGAGCTCTCAACGTAGCAAAGGGCTGATGAGGGTCTCCGCACATCCACGAACTATTTCGCTGGTGGGCAAGTTGGTGTTAAACGGGAGCGGGAAAGCACCGTAGCGGCTACCGCATCTCAGCTTCTGTAGAGGGCTAGACATTGTTTTCACTGTGCGCCCGAAGAAGTGCCCTCCCCCATCGTTGTCTTGCCGCTGCGACGTACGAAAGCAATATACGTGGCACTGCCAAGTCTTCTGTGCAGACGTGGTCGATTAGCAACGGCCGAACGGTTGCAGGAAGTGGGCTGCCCTTCTACACGTATAGCAAAAATGTCCACATAGCTGGCGGCATCGCAAGGTTGTGGGAATCGCACCTGCCGGTCTTGCTCCTTCCGCAGGCCCTCAACGCCCTTGCGACGACTCATTTCCAGCCGATGGATGACCTTAAGAGCCTTCGCCGGCATCAGCAGTGAGGGTTCGCGGAGCATGGTGTTTCATAAGCCCGGAATAACGTCACAAAGTATGAACACCGTTTCACTCTTTTCTTATTCCACTCCCGAATTCTTCTACAATATGGTGACTGCAGAAGTTGTTGCAGCGAACACGTCTTTCAGGGCCACTTCTCCCAACGCGGCCTAAGCGGCGGGTGTATATGAGCTTACGTTGCATGTGTATCGCACCTGTCTGGTTTGTGTGTGGTTGAACGACTCCATGTTCCAGGCGTGGAGTAGAGCTTGGAGATCCTTGGCGCTTTCCTGCGATTGCGGGCGAGAACCATCGCAAGGACAGGGAAGGAGTGGATGGGACGCGACTGGCATCTCCTCCAGGCTTGTGCCCTCATCGCTCCGAAGGATGTTATGTGACCGTGTTTTTTGGTTGATACCCTCGAAAGCTGCACCGTCTCGCTACGTCGCGCTATGCCTCTCTATCATTCTTGACACCGGTCAGTTCGTTGAAAAGCTAGAGACAGAGAAATGTTCGCCAGTGCTCCTGTTCCTTGCCAGGAAGGGCTCGGGTTTGTCTGAAGCAATCTTCCCTCTGCAAGGTCATTTTTGTCCACAAGAACCTGTAGTGTGCAAAAGGCTAGATGAGGACAAGTCCTGACATCCACCATGAGTTAAATGGCTGGAAATTCGTGGTTGAATTGTGTCTACTTTTCGGTTTCAAAGGCACTACCACAGAGCAAGGATTTCTTGGTTGTACTCACGTGCGCGTTGGAGATCTTGCTTTCAATACCCGTCGAAGCATCATCGCGATACATGTCGTCCACACAATGGTACACGTCGTTGATACTCAAGGAAGGCTTCCCCCTATTAACTCGCGGGAACACGCAGCGAAGAACATTTAATGTTGTTGCCTTGCTTTGACAGTGAGGCGGGGACATTCGTCGGTGTCGCCATGACCCGAGGCCCGTTGTGCGGTACTCTGCCGTTGCAAAGTAGTTTTGGTGAACTCGAAACGCTGGGACTAAGGCTGTCTAAACCTCCTGTAATTTCTACCGCTTGCTCCAGGCTGGAGATCTAGCTGCCTAGCTTATGAAGTGCATGGTGGCATAAGTTGTTTTGTGTCGTACCTGTTAAGATGTACATCATATCCACTATGCTGCAAGTCAGCGCTGACTTGTAGCATATAGGATATGCTGTACACCATAACAAAAGTACAACTGATTCAACCCAATAATTGCTTGTGATTTCGCCACATTTTCTCCTGAAGGAGTCTACAGCAGCAGTTGTCAACACGTTAGTAATAGAAAATTGGTGTATACCAGTTATTTTAGGGCCATTTTTTGACAAGCGTGGGACGTACGTTCTGCCGAAAGAGGTAGCCCCCACCGCGGCACGATCCCATAGCTTCTGGAGCTGCTGTTGCTCCACTAATTCCACGACTAACCCCTCGGATGCAAGCGAGTTGGCAAAGATACGCCACTGGTTCTCCGAAGTGATGCGGAGATGCTCCGCACTGCGGTTGTCATGGCTTCGTCCCCCTACGCTTGTCTTGGCTGGCTCTGTTGTTTCGCCTGCTGAAGAGTAGAGACGCACGCTTATTGGCACAATGAATATTCACATTGGCTACTGTGAACAGTCCCTACAACACCCAGCGATACCACATGCACATAAGCCGTAGGTCTACTGCACTTCCTTGCCTCTGGAAAAATCTCCTTGATGGTGCGACGAACGAAATCGAAATACTGCTGTGTACATGAACAGTCACACACGCCACACTGGCATGGTCACCGCAGCACCCTACGGTCGCCAATAGATGTACTTGTGCGGCAAGAGCGTCGTAGACTGCCTACAACACCTCATAACCCCCACTGATTGTTACTGCCCATCCGTCGCCACTGCCACCGCGTCAGCAGTAGCCGTACAGTCTAGTATAGCCTCGGCACATCTTGCTGTCAGTCTTCTGTTTGAAGTCTACACATACCTGATACACATGCCGCCTGGAATAGGTTGAATAGGGGATCGCCGTCTATTTCCATTATGTTAGCGTGTGGTGCAAGCTGCGCCGGCTTGGATACGGCACCCTGAGCTGCCTGTCTCCACTCACTGCCAACAGCAGGTCACCAAAACCGACCGGTAGAATCTTCTTGGCTGTCCAAACGCGGCGGGATTGATTGCTGAAGATATCGCACACCACTCTTGCTGTAATAATATAATGGTATATAACAAGCACTTGTCCGTGTTGTATCGGTAATGTACCGTCACGACCGTGACGCTACGACCGTAGACACGGGAAGTCCCCGGCAGTCAGAGGTCGCCAAACCAGGGCCGTACTGAAAAAAAGGAATTTCTTTACGTAAGTTTATGTACAATCATGAAGTGCGCAGCATCATCAGACAACTTGTTTTTTTTATATTTATTTGCAGGACTTTTTTTTTCATCTTTTTTTTTTTTCGAATGACATGTGGCAGTTGGACAATTTCCACGTGCGGCGGAATTACGTGTAGCTTCCCGCCAAAAATCCTTAGCACGTGCCGGTGACAAGCACTACAGTACTTCCTCCCACCTCTTAGACCCAGCGCAACTCGCCAAGCAAGGACCGCGTGCGCCATGCAGCCTCATGCGCAGTACGCAATGCATCCTGGCGCCTACACAGGCCCTTCCCCCAGTCCTCCAGATGGAATGCGCAACCCCAGCGCCAGCTTTCCCGCTCATCCTCAGCAACCTAACAGGAACTCAATTCCTTCCGTGATAGCAGCACCAGTCGGTGGCGGCAGCGAAGGTGCCAACAGCAGTGGGCCGAGGGACAGGCTGGTGCTTGACGAGAAGGTGGCAGGGACTGCGGGATATGCTCGCTGGGATGAGGGATCGGCAGACAGGCGACTCCAGCAGCACCGTCAGGTATGTTGTGCGAAGGGTTGACAAGTTTTCGTGGGATGCAACTTGTGGGTGGTTCCAGCGACGACACCGCCAGCAGCACCACCCCCAAGGCTGTAGCGGGTGTTGCCGATCACCCACCGCTGCCAACACTTCTGAACTTTAAGTTGGTGGCTCACGCTGGCTGGGTGCTCGTTGTTGTCTAGCGGCTTCGGTACACGATTGGCTGCCAGCACATTGTCCACCCATGGACAAGCAAGCCCGAATTAATTCACCCGTTCGTTATGCGGCGGTGTCCCCATCTCTTGCGTGCGCGCGACACACTGAGGACGATCATTACGTTCGCATATACCCCTATCCCTTAGCAAGACGCATCGGCATGCCTCCTCTTTATGGCGTTCGGAAGAAGTCCATGCATGCCTGTCTCTGCGTAGCTGCATATAAGTTGCAATTTCCAATTTTTTCGTGGAATAACACCCCCCCCCGTGGCGATTCCTCTGACCTCGAACCCTGCTGTGTGCATGCATGTCGCTCTAAAGGTTTCCCGCGTGTACAATGGATTGACCAACAACGATTGCCCATCAAAGATTCGTACGGTACGCCGTCGTACGCGTACGCCATAGGTTGTGCTTGTTCGGCGTGCACCGCGCTACATTCTGTAGCGTGCGGTATGAATGAACCGAAGCGAATGATCGGCAGCGACAAAACGGCTCCTTTCCTTCCTACCTTCCATACCGATGTTTGTTCGGTGACGTTTGCATGTTTTCCTTTTCGGGGTTCCGGTGGCTGCGGGCGGGGAGGCCCAACGGCACCGAACGACAACCTAATCGAACACACAGACGTGCAACTGCACAACGTCCGATTGGCGGCACGAAAATTTTCACAACAAGGAAGAGTCACGCTGGTGACGTGTCCGCACCGCGTGCGCGGGGTGTTGTCCTCGAATTTTTTTGACGTTCGACGCAAAACTTGCCCTCGCAAGCCGATCTGCTTCGTAGATAGATAATATACACCAATTTTTCACCCCGAACGATGCCTCCCTCTCGTGCTGGTTCTTGCCGTCCCTCCAGACTCTGCCACCGGTTCAGGCGGACGGCAGGCAGGTTGCGCAGATGGCTAGGCCTCTCGTCGCCGACGCGGCCGGAGTGATGGAGCAGCACCGCGGGCGGGCTTCGGCCTCCCCGCCTCACGTACCTGCTACTTCTTTGGCGCCCCCCCCGCCTCCTCCGCCCCCCCCGGTGTTGAGCGCCGCCCAACAGAGGCATCTGAGGCACCTACAGCAGCAGCAGCAGCAACAGCATGATGCGGGTGGTGACAACGTGGTGGGAATTCCCCGATGTGGTGGCGGCGGCCAACAGTACATGGGAAGGGGATTGGTTCTGCCTTCGCCCTCAAGGCACAGGATTCAGGTATGCCGCACACCGTGAGAGTCTGACACTATGTACCAAGGTCGTTTACCCTAGAGTTTTCGTGTACGTTTCTTCGCGGCATGCAGGAGAAGATTGAGTGGTATTGTGCTCCCAGAAATGGTGGCGGGGCTTTCTTGTCTATTTTCGTTTGTTCTGAGACCGGGAGGGGTGAACAGGCGGCCGGTCGTTGAAGGGCTTGCTGCACCTGCGATGTGGTGCAATTTGGGATATATTCTATGGGTTGAGGACTAGTGTGTCGCCTGATGCCGAGATAGCCATGCCATTTCTGCTGCGGACGTTTTCTGCCGCCACCGTCTAATCGAAACTGACTGCAGATGTTTAGTACGCTTGATTTTCGGTACGCGGGCAGAGCGCTCAACATCGGACTGAATTTTCCTTTTGACTCTCTGCGACTTTGGCTTTCCGCCTGCCATCGACTCGGTCCCCTTCGACTATTCGCCCCCCCCCCCCGCCCGCACCGTCTTCTCAGCGCATCGAGCCCAAAAACTCACCCCGGCAGCAGCAGCAGCAGCAGGGACACTGGTCGAACGGTCAACCGAATCGCCCCGGCGTGCTTCCTCTGCCGCGTTACTCCACCGCAATGCCGGGTGTAGCCCCCGTGTGCCCTTCCCCCGTTATCAAGGTTCCCATCTACAGCACTCTCTCCGAAGCCATCGAACACCAGCAGAAACAGCAGCAGCAGCAGCAGCAGCAGCAGCAGCAGCAGCAGCAGCAGCAACAGCAACAGCAACAGCAGCAGCAGATGTCGCGGCACGCATACCCCTCCGTGCCGTTGGGCGGTGCCCCGCCCCCTCCCCCTCCGCCGCCACCGTCGACGCCCGTCGGGGTTAACGCCGGCCACGGTTTTGCCGCCGCCATGTTCGAGGCACCCGCTACCCCGGGTCTCCAGTCGCCTAGCCTGACAATGGTTGGAGGTAGGGACCAGAGGCTGGCGCAGCAGCAGCAGCAGCAGCAAAGGTGGCAGCAGCACCCTGTGCTTCGCCGAACCCACAGCCTTCCCGCCGAGGACGAGAGTGGGGGGGAGCCTGTAGCGGCGGCGGCCGTGGCGTCTACCGGCCGCCTCGACGGCAACGACCGGGCTTCCCCCAGGGGTGGCGTGGCGCCGCAGGTGAGCGAGAGACATCCTTGGTATTGGTGGTGCCCATCTCTCCACCACCCTCTAAACAGTTGTATGAATATCCCCGCCGGTGTATGTTGTTTGTCGTTAGTTGGAATAATATACATTTTCGTGTTCGAGCGTGCTTGCGGCGGTAGCTCTGCGGGAGGGACAACTTTTGTTGTTGACGGCCAACCGTTGGAGTAGTAGAAGTGGCGACCAGGCGAGAATTGTACATGCTCTTTCGACCCCATCGTACCGGCGCGCGGGGCACACGCTCGCCCAGCGCGTCACTCCGTCGGATACAGAAGGCGGAAGTTTGCCTGCCGCCGTCTGTCTTCCAGCGCTATATGAGAGATGAGGCTCCGTTTGGTTGGTACGCGGTGTCGATGTCAGGCATGTGCTTGTTTTTTTTTGTTCTGGTTGGCGTGGACGTCGGCAACCCACTTTTTCCACACCAGTGCCATCCTTTCTTTTGTATGTTGAATATTCATTTGTTCACCGCCGTGTGCTTTTTTTTTTTTGGTTCACCTCCTCTTCGGTCTATTGCGGTAATACTCAGTCCTTATCCCCTCTGTACGCTTTTCTCTCTTGTTTCTTTCCCCGTCCTACCTGCACAGAGCCGCTCCTTCGGCGCCCCTTTGGCCATGCCGGTGCCGTTGCAAGCGCCTCGCGCTCAGGGATGTATGCAGGTGAGTGAGGTTGGAAAATGTTGTCTGCCGTTTGAGAGTGAATCGTGGTGTTGTCACTCTCTGTTTGGACACGGGAACTCCACGTGTCAGAGGAGATTGGGGGGGGGCAAAATCCGCGTTGCGGAAGGCATGGGTGTTGATGAGCCACGTCCTTCAGTTTGAGACAAACGTCAAGAAACGTCTTCCAATGGTTGCCAAAACTTGGATATGTAGGCAATCTACTCCCCCCGTGCAGCAGCAACCATAGTAGCACGTCTTTTGGTACGACATACATAACGGTGCTACGCTACGACCAGGGACTCACGATTTTCTGCACCTGCAGCAGCCGCTTCTCCCGTTTGCGTAACCACACCCCCGCAATACCTCAACCACAAACTATTGTTGTCGATTACCTACGTGCATCCCCCCCCCCCCTGCTGCGGTATCGGTTTGATTCAACCCCCATACAACTCCCGCCCCTGCGAACAGGCCCCTCCGCCGAACGCCCCGCCTGCCGGGCTTCGCCTGCAGATGTGCGGCCTAACCAACACGCCCATGTCGGCGCCTGTTACCCCGGTCATGGTCTACGCCCCCGGTCACGGGTACATGATGGCCTACCCGCCTGTCAACGTCCCTAGTGTCCAAACCCCTCGGTCTACGCGCTCTCAGGTAATTCAATGGTGGCGTTGTGTATGTATGACTTTGGTGCCTTATTGCCTTTTTTTTTTGTAGTTTCGACGTGGGCGCAAAGAAAAGCGCTGCATGTTTGAACTTGCAAAGTAGTCAAAAGGAAACTGGTCTTTTTTTTTGTGGGTATGTGTTTTTTTTCCCGAACAAACAAAGGCTGTTGTTGGTTGTTTTTGAGGCTCTTCTCTGCTTTTGTTTGATATCTCCTCCTGCTAAAGCTAGTGAAAACTTATGATTATGCCTGCTTGCTGTCTCCGCGTTCCAGTTGTGATTCTGCGGTGTCGGCTTGGCGTCAGAGACGACAACGCCGTCATTCTCCGTGCTCTCGTGTCACCACCACGACCGCCCTTCGAAAAGCCATACTCTGACGGCGTACCTAAATATTTCTGAAAACATGTCCTGACCTCACTCTTCCAACTCGCAACATTCGGTGATCCTGGCCTCGAAAAATCGCAACAAATCTTATGGTACGGTGCCTTGTTGCCGCTTCTCCTGCGCTCGGCTTAACCCCGAGTCTAACGTAGAGTGTTTTGTTCGACCGTACTGTACTGCTGTGCTGGTGTTGCTCTCGATTCGTCTCAGGCATCTAAGGCGTGGGACCCTTACGAGTGTGTGTCTCCCTCGGGAGAGAGCACCCACGCTGGCTTTGGACGCAGGTACATACGGCGATGCGGTTTTTGGCTGCTTGATGTCGTTGACTCGGGATGTTGTTGAGCCCTCATCGTCTGAAGCAAAGTAGATTGTACCGTTGTTGTTGTTTCTTCCGTCTCTGCTTTGAGCAGAGGAGGTACGATAGGTACGCGAACGTCGAGATGTTGTTGCCGATGCTGCGGATCAGTAAGAGGGGCCAGCAGCGGTCAAGAAGCTTCAAGTTCGAGTGGGGGGGTCAATTTCCCTGTACCCGTAGGTAGCACTTGGGGCCACCGTCAAGGCAAAGCAACGCAAATTGACCCTACACACGCGTGCCGTTTTGTTTGCGTCGTCTTTGGCAGGGGAAAAGAGACGCCCGATTTGTCGCCGGAAGGGTCTCCTGTAGCACTTTCGTCGGCCATGTCGGTCTCGTCGCGCGGCAGCCTGAGCAAGCAAGGAGGAAGAGGAGACGACGATGCGTCACAGGTATGTTACAGTATCACTGCTGCATGCGGTAGAGGTCCCTGTTTAGTGCCTGTTGAATAATGTCGGTGTTTTTCCGTGGGCACACACTGAATTTCCAAGTCATTATCTCGAAACTTTCGATAGTGCCGGTGAAATTTCTGGGCACATACCGGCACTAAACAGGGACCTCAAGGGGTCCTGTATCCCTCTCATTGATGAACAATTGTCAGCATTCGACTCATGATGAAAAACGGACGGTTATATACGCTGTGTACATGTCGGCATCCAACTCAACGATGAAAAATTGACTATCAGTGTAGGTAGGAAGTCGCTCATCGTTCATCGACCCAGTCCGATCGGAGAGTGGTCTTTGGTGCGACATTGCTTTTCCTTTTGCTGTCACCCTGCAGTCTGGGTTATCGAAGAGCGTGCACCCTTTCCTGTACGTTTGCCAGGCGGTTTTGCGTTTCGTGTGTTTATAGCCGTCTTCGTGACAACACGCGTTCATTAGTGAAACTGCTTATCATCTCAATCAACGTTTGAGTGATCGATCCTGTTGGCGAATCCTGTGCTACATCCGTAGACTCTGGTATGGAAACTAAATAGTTTGTGCGAAACGTGAGTTTGCGAGTATATGCTTGTCGGGCTGTAAGATCTCCTGCTGCCACGTTTTTCGCTCCATCCGACTCGGGTCACGGTTTCGGGCTGGCGCAGGGGCTGAGATCGCGTGCGTCTTCAGTGATATCGGATGTGATCGAGGGCGGCGTCCTCAACGACGATAGCCGACAGAACAAAGCTAGCAGCCAGCCTTCTCTGGCCAACCCGGCTCTTCTCCCGCTCGAAGGGAAGACCGACAACGAGGTGGGCAAAAGACAGAATGTCACCCGTAATTAAGAGGCGAGACGGATGCCACTGGCATGTGGTAACGGGTCCTGTTCGTGTGTGAACGTGCTCCGGGTGGAGTCGTACGCATCGCCACTGCTGCATTCGGCGATGTTTTCCCCTCTGACACAGGTACTTCTTTGTCGCAGGGACCCCCCGGCCTGAGAGGTATCATCGGGGCGCCGGTATGCATGGCTGCGCTTTGCGCTAGCGCCACCAGCGCTCTTCGTCCTTCACCCACCACTTGTTCTTGATCGTTATTGTATTTTCATCCGGCCCCCCTGTGTGTACCGGCCGCTCTGTGAGACCCCGATTTATGGGAACAAAATCTTGTCGATAAAGCTTGATCTTGGCCAAGATCTGCCAGTTTCACGATTTATGGGAGCAAAATCTTCCGATATATCTTGGCCAAGATTTCTCGAGGCCCGAAATCTGCCCTTTCGAACAAATCTTGACCCAAGATCTGTCAAAACGAGCCTTCCGACAAATCTTGAGGCGGCGAAACAAATCTTGCCTGGGTGCGGCGCGATCACCGAAGGTCAGTCAACCTAATCGTCCATAACGCCATGAAATCTGCACGTGGCACACTCGCAAGGGTCTCAAACGCACCCTGGCGTCACTGTGTCAGTGCCACGGGCGCCGACAGCGAACGAAAACGACCAAGGCGCGCGAAAAAAATGCGCTTTTGCCTGGCTCGTTCCACGTGCGTCATCACCAGTCTGTCGAGGGACCGTTCAAAGATTACGTTATTTTGAAGTAGAAAAATAGAGGAGGAGGAACGTTTTGCCAACACAGCTCTGTCGTGTGCGACGCTTCTATCTCTTCATCGAATCACCCCACACCCAATCCCTTTGCACCCGAGCCAGATCCATGAGTGCAGATGACAGCGCCGGAGGTTTGACCTCGGTGCGCCTGCTACATAGTGAGATACGTGCACGGGCGTAATCGGCTTCGGGTTGATGCACTTTCTTGTCAGTTGGACAGCAATGGAACAATTTTGTTTCTCCGCTTGATACGAACTCGTCGGCAACGGCCTCTATTTTGCACCCCAGGTAGGCGCCCATCGCTAGTATCCACCCATAGTGTTGAAGCAATACAGCTGGGGGAGGGACGCTCCTTTTACAACTGCGTCATGGTCACTTTTCGCCACACCTTGGCATTTTCTGTGGACCAAGTGGCCGTCGTGCCTTTATCAACTTCAAGCAGAAGAGAGGAACAACTCGCCGCTTTTTCAACATTCAACATATTCTCCCCATAAATCGCGATACTGCAAATCTTGGTGGAGATATATTGCGAGCAAATCTTGGGTCAAAATGCCAAGAAATAATTGCAAGATTCTGTTTCCATAAAGAAGGGTCTGACGATGATCGTTTGTCGATCTCTTCCGCCGCCAGGACGGATCGTACAAGACGCCCATCCGCCTCCGATTGAGCTGCGAAACCTCGGCGGGCGGTACCGCAACCGACGGGGAGGACAAGGAGAACTCTCAGGTCGGGGCCGGGTTCGTGGGCGGAGGGAAGAAGAGGGAGGGCGAGGCCGTCTTGGAGGCAAAGAAGCAGCTTTCGGGCCAGAAGCGAGCGGGCGGAGATATCGACATCGAGAAACAGAAGTCGTTTACCGGGAGCTACTTCCAGGTGAGGGATGGATGCCTTGAAAAGCCCAAGTTATTTTTCTGTTTTTTTTCGAGGGCGGGGAGGGGGGTGACCTCGGAACCAAAGAGGTCTTGCTACGGCCTTTGAGGTGTTTGGTTGCCGTTGGTGAGACATTCGCGTTCCGCGTTATCCGTTTCCTCGCCCACATTGCCTGTGTGGCGTTACAATAGTCTGTCTTTGGTTGTATGAACTAGCCTTGGTTTCCTGTGGCGTTTCGTCTGGTTTCATTAATCGCTTGTCTTCGATTGGGCAGTCATGCCTTCCGTGTAGGAGTTGATCGTTTCCTTCTGGATCGTGGACAGTTTACTGATTCCGACGGTTCTGTGGTGGTTCCTATGACGACCTTTTGTTTGGCCTCGAAACAGGTCTCGCCAAGCTCCTTCCTTCAGTCCAGCAAGCGCCAGCGAAACTTCGCTTAGTTACTCGAGTACCGAGTAGCATCCCGGCATCGGCGAGGCAACACACACCGCGCAACCGTTGACTTCTATTCCCAACCAACCTGGCCGGGTCGTTTCGTTGGCGACACGTTCTTGTTCCTGGAAGACATGGGACACTCAATCAAGCGGTTTCTCATCGGCTTGTTCTCGAAAGCTTTCTCGACGTCGTGCACTTGCCTTCCGTGTTCAGCACGCGTAGTCTAGGTGGAGCTCCTTGGGGGCCGTAGCTTGGTCGAAAGTAGTTATGGTGGGACATAATGGTGCCATTCTTTCGTGAAATGAAACCGCCGAAAATGTTGCTAATAGTGTAGTTTCAGCAGGGATGCAGGCTGAGGTAGGTCCATTCGGGGATTTGGACCGCTGCAAGTTTGCTAGATGAAATATTGAATGCTCCTGTTGTCCGTGTGGCATGTGATCTCATACTAAGACACGGGGGAAGCTGTTGGTGTCCCCGTCGAGGTGCCAAATCACGCCTGTTCTCTATTCCTTCGAGTCCTCGTTCTTCTGTTCTGGCACCTGTTGTACTTCTACGCGAAGAGGAGACCGATAGGCACGAGGCCAACCATGTCCGGTCTGGCCGGCACCAGAATTGTACGACGCGACTGCGAAGTTGGCTCTAGTGTAGATGGTGTCGCATGCGAACGAAGTTCACTGAGAGAGTATTGGCCTTCGTTGTCGCTTTCAAGAATCGGAGGGTCTCCTTAGCTGTAGCGAGACCTGTTCCTCTGCAGTTCATCCTGAATTTTCGACCTACACAGTTTCGAAAGAGTGTTGAATTTATGAATTTATGTTCGTGCGTATTCGTCTTGAGAAATTTACTTCGCAGCTAGTTTTTTCGTTTGAGTTTTGGTCCCGCCGATCACAGTGGTCGTGGCAGCACTGCCTGCCGTGCCAAACTCAGCGTGTCTCAGCTTGTATCTCTAGCCACTTTGTAACTTTAGTATCTGCTAGCAGAACTACCCATACGTTTGAGGTATGCTTAGGCGTACGCGTAGGAGAGAGTACCGTATTTGATATTCAAGGTTGCCGGCAGATGTCTACTCTGACTTCGGTATTTTATTTAGCTGGATATATATGTTTTTCTGAATCGAGGATAGTAGTAAGAATGATACTATGCTTTCCTGATGTTCCATCCTTGGTGTGTTCACACCGCGATATGAAACGCGCGTGTGTAATGTATTAATTGTGTATATCGTAATCGAAAAAGGTTTCAAAATAATGGGTATGCTGGGCTTCTTCCCACAGCCTGGGATGCCTGGCGTGAACCGGTCCTCTCTCTTCTCTACAAATACCGCTGCTTGATCCTACGGATATAGTACGCTAACGCTGAACAAAGGTGGCACTTGGCAAGAAGTGTACACCTTCTTCGGCGTTGTTATCTCATGATCCTACACACGGAGCTGCACAGGTCCGCGTTGAACAATAATATGCAGACTACACCGTAGACTTACGCACGTACAATGTATGCTGTCGAAGGATCCTATTCACTTGTTTGGTTGATAAATACAGAGCGCGGAGATGGAAAAAGGGCATCGTGTGGCAGATTCCTGAGCGTTCAATGTTAGCCGATGCGCCTGGTTGGTACACGTAGCTTGTTGGTGTTCTTGTCTGCAGGGCAAAAAAGTGCATGGGCACGCAAAAAGCCCCGCCGCCTCCGGCGGGCAACTTTGACGCAGTTGCAGGTGTACTTAACGCGTGTGGGATGCTGGCCGAATAGCCAGGCCATAATCGGGTACAGCGTGATCGAAATCGGGTGGCCGGTGGGGGGGTAAATAGGCAGGATCGGGTGCACCCGCTTGAAATGCGGTGAGCGGCGGGCCTGAGCGGGCGTTGGCCAATGAGATGGCGCCGTGACATTGACATACAGAGGGGAACCCGGGTCTGGCCACGCGGCCTCCGGGTGTACCCGTTTTTGGCCGCTGCTCTTACACAGTACGGGCCCGCAACTAAGACAAATTCCGGTAGGAAAAAAAAAAGGCTCAACGTTTTACGAAAAATAAGAAAAAATGACTACGAAACATAACATAAGAGCCATCCCACTACGAAGCATGATCGTGCGATGCCCCCAATATATAAGAAACAAGGGTTGCTGGGGGAGCGTATCCAACAAGAAACGTCCCACTGCTGCCTGCTCCTTCCGTGCTCCCACATATCTGAATAGTTTCTTTTTTCGTGGGGGAGTGATTATTGTCGCGGACCCTCCCGCTGCTGCATGAATGTTTGGCGTGTTTTGATTTGTTGTTGTATTCTTCGCCAGAAACAAGAGAATAAGGAATAAGAGGATCAGGAGTTTTTTTTTGTTTTTGTCTTGACTTCAAATCAGCCCTCACAGCACTAGTGCCATTTTCTGCAACCCGTGGTCACACAGAAGACCCCCTCTCTACCCTCCCCTCCTGTGGTACTTTGCCTTCGATTTTTAATGCGAGAAGAGTTCAGCATTATCTTCCCTCTGTGTACACACACACGAACTAGCACTATCCACCAGGCCAGGAGCGGAAAAGTGAGAGAAAACTCCCTTTGAAAGAAAGGCTCGCTTACGCCGGGATTCGAACCCCTGACCTGACCTCTAGAAGGGGTCGAGTATACCAACTAGACCACCGTGGCGACCGGGGCGAGGATGCGACAGTCCAAAGGAACAAGAAATTCTTCCTTTTCAGAAAATGGACGACTTCGGCTAGTCCTTCGACCCAAGATAAGGGATTGAGCCTTGACCCGATTTTGACGTTTCTTATCCCCGGGCGCGTACTGTACAAATCGAGTCCTCCCCACCGGCTAAAATGCAAATATGCTCCCAAGGAGAGAGGGACAAAACATAAAATAAAAAAAGAACACGGACAAAAAGGCCGAATTCCTCCCCACCGACAAAAATGCCAATACGTTACAAGGGAGAGGGACAAAAGGAAAACAGAACAAGAAATGAACAGCAAAGATATCACATACACGCCACAACCCGTCATCGTTCCTTGGGGGGTGCACCAAACGAGGGGGGGGGGGGGCGAGGGACGAGTACAGCCACTTACAAAAAAAATCAATCCGCAACCTTGCGTGCCACCCGGTCCGCCTCTTCTCGCTTGCTTTCCTCCCTCGCCGTTTCCCCCCGCCCGCCTCCCACCCTGTTGGCTTGTCTATACTACTCCTATTTCTGGGTCCGTTTTCTCGTTTGATGTATAGATCCTTGTCGGCTAGCCTCCTCCTCGTCCTTGTGCCAGATGATCATGAACCTCTCAGCTCCCTGCAGTACCCCCGAGTGACACGGTACCCTGGCCGCGACGTGGAGGTCAAGTCATGCAACCGCCGTACAGCAACGCCTCCATCGCCTACGCTTGGAGAAGGCGGGTCTTGAGTCTCATGCACCCTGGAAAAAAAAACGGAGAGAGAAAGAAGAGACATTAAGCTTGACTTCCACGCTAACTTTTTGGTGGACTTTCATATTGATTTCCTAAACGACCACGCGACGCGCAATGTTCAAACGCACGCAAGCGAGGACGAGGAATTCTCCCACCATCATTTCCAACTTACAACCTTGAGATGTTATCACTCGCGGTTCTGACGTCTTTTCATGCGAAAAGAGGAGAGGAAGGAGGAGTGACAAAAGAGGGATGAGCGAACAATAAAAAAAATATTTTCTCACAATACTCAGGAGTTAAAAAATCGTTTTTCCGCAGGGCATATTTCGAGAATGCACGAGCACCAAAAACTCAGAGATCCTTCAAGTGGATGGAAACAACGAAATTGCCGCACGTAGGGATCTTCACGGGTTTCTCTGAACCGGAATTTTCGTCTGCGATGCTCGAGCCCGCCTCGTGTTCCAGCCATGCAAAATCTGCTCTCTCTTCTCCGACAACTGCCTACTCCATCCTCTTCCGCCAACCACATTTATCTGATACCTCCAAGCTTCTCTCTCTCGCCCAGCCACCACAAAACAAAACCTCCTCCCTTCCGTCATTCCACTCGATCAACGGCTTGAAACCCAATTACTAGGCACAAAATATGCCACCAGAGGAAATAAAGTTTACCTGAGGGCTGTCACGGGCCGCTTTGACCTTCCGCTTCTTGGCCGGTTGGACCTTCCCCTTCTTGGCCGCTTCGACCTTCCGCTTCTTGGCTTCTTCGACCTTGCCCTTCTTAGCTGCTTCGACCTTCTTCCCCTTCTTGGCCGCTTCGACCTTCTTCCCCTTCTTGTCCGCTTCGACCTTCTTCCCCTTCTTGTCCGCTTCGACCTTCTTCCCCTTCTTGTCCGCTTCGACCTTCTTCCCCTTCTTGGCCGCTTCGACATTCTTCCCCTTCTTGGCCGCGGCAGCGACCTTCGCCTTGTCGGCCTTGCGCACTATATCATCCGAGTCGACGGGACCCCACACGTTGGTCTTGGCGCCGTTCTGGAGCTCGAGGCGGTAAGGGTTGCCCTTGTCCCAGTGCTTCACGACCTTGGCCAGCTTCCAGCCGCGGTTCTTCGCCTCGACATAGTCGCCGACGGCGAAGCGCAGCTTCTCCTCCGCGGTGCAGGACAGGAACTCCTTTTTGAGGCTCTCGGCATTTTCCTTGATGTTCTTGCCGATGAAGATGAAGCGGCACTCGCGCTCGGCGTCGCTGGCCCAGAGCCCGGGCGGCGTTGCCTTCTTGCCGCCGCCGTCCTGCTCCGCCTTGGGGTCAATTTTGGTGGCGTCGGGGCCCAGCACCTGGGAGGCGAAGCCGCCGTTGAAGAGCATGTGCACGCCCTGGAAAATGAACTTCTCCTCCATGCCCTTGACGGCGAGGACGCCCTTGTAGCGGAAGAGCTCGGTGCCGAGCTCCTCCAACAGGTCGCTGATGAACTTCTGCAGGAGGTTGACGTTCAGCTCCAGGCCGGGGAAGGACCAGGCGACGGAGGACACGGACTCGTCGTGCACGTGGTCGGTGCCGTCGCTCGTGAGGAACGCGGGGTCCACGTCCAGCACGCGGTTCAGGTCGAAGGCGGACAGATTCAGCAGCTCCTTGGGCGGCACGCGAGAGAACTCGGAGCGGATGATCGTGGCGTGGGCGTTGACGGCGCGGATGCGGGCCTCGAGCTTGGCCAGGGCCGCCTCGGCGGGCGCCTTGGAGGCGTCCTTGGCCTTCTTGGCGTTGGCCCGGGTCGGGGCCAGGGCGTTGTTGCCGTAGGAGACCGCGGCGTCGGTCTCGGTGCAGGCACCGCCGCCGGCGGCGTCGTCGTCGGCCGGCTTTTTTTCGTCCTTCTTGCCCACCAGGTCGGTCTTGTTCAGGATGATGCGGTCGGCGAAGGCCATCTGCTCGAGGGGCTCGTTGCAGGCTCCCTCGGGCTTCTCCTCGTCCAGGTGCTGCTCCACGTGCGCGGCGTCGACGACCGTCACGATGCCGTCCAGGCGGTACTTTTCCTGCACGTCGGCATCGACGAAGAAGGTCTGCGCCACGGGGGCGGGGTCGGCCATGCCGGTGGTCTCGATCAGGACGGCGTCGAAGGAAGACAGCTTCTTGCTCATGCGCTTCAGGGCCCCCACGAGGTCGCCGCGGGCCGTGCAGCAGATGCAGCCGTTCATCACCTCGATCACCTCCTCTTCCTCGAAAATTGCCGTCTGACCCGACTTCGAGGCGATCAGCGCGTCGTCGATGCCGACCTCGCCGAACTCGTTCTCGATGATCGCGAAACGCAGACCATGGGTGCTGTCGGCCAGGATGTGGTTCAGGAGCGTGGTCTTGCCGGAACCAAGGTAACCAGTCAGGATGGTGACGGGGATGCGGGTGTCATTAGGACCGGTCACCTTGTATTCAGGCACGTCACACATGACGAAGCAGAGATCCACACCTAGAGGGACGTTCGTCGCAAGATTGCATTGCGGAAGGGGAGCAGTAACAATGACGTGGGATGGATGCGAACGAGACCGAGGAACCGACCGTAATCGCTGCGACGTTACTCACACCTCGCTGTTGTTTTCCAACTCGACGTAAGTCAGTCTCTCTCCCTGCACTCCAACGACTCATCATCCAGACTCCATCTGCTGCATATGTGTGTGTATTGTTTTCTCTCACACTTACAATAGCTCTTTGTTCCAAAACATCCATGGGAGCCGTGGTCACAAAAACTGGGTACACTCGACGCCGGAAAGAAACGACGCAAAATATTCTACGTACGCGTCCCGCGACGCCAAACTGGGCACCGAGAGGGTCCTACGCGCTAAATCAAAGACTAGACAGCCGGTCGCCCCGGTGGTCTAGTTGGTAGACTCGCAACCCTCAATAAATAGTAGGCAGGTCAGGGTTCGAGTCCCGGCGTTAGCGACTTCTTTTGCATGAAATTGAGCTTTTCTCTCGCTTTCGTTCTTGCCGGTGGGAAGCGCCAGCGCGTGTGTACACAGTGGGAATAGGTGGCGGATACTGTTCTTACACTAGAAATTTTAGGCTAAGCGGCGCAGAAGGATGGGAGTGGGGGGCTCAGGGAGAGGAACCTTCTGTGTGACCACGGTTGAGAGTTCCGAGCAAGATATCATGTGTTGCAAGGCGCGTTACATGAACATAAACAAACGTGAGCACAAGAAAACGTTGAAAAAGTTAAAGAACCAGAAAAACCAGGCACAGCGTCAGCGAAGGAGAGGGAGCTACAGAAGGCGAGCCAAGGGCTTCCCACACCCGCCTGCAACGAGACGAAAATACAGACATACGAAAAACAAAGCACAAAGTACAGTGGGTGTCCCGGTATAGTGGCGGTCTGTGTCCAGGAGGGTAGACCGGCACTAATACCGGCCACCGGCACGATTCAGAGTTGTGCCTGAATAGTGCCAAACCGGCACAAAACCCCCAATATTGCCCGCTGGCTTGGCACTATTGAGGATTGTTCGACTTCTGAGTGCAGCGCTTGCGCTTGGCGGGGCTGACAGAGTACCATACGAATGGTACGGATCAATCGTGAGGTGGGCTACGTGGGCGGGCTTCTTTGAGTTTCGTCGTGAGACTCCCGGACTGACGAAAACACGGCATTGGTCACATGAACATAAACTTGACCAGATAGATTTGTTGCACAGTTGTTCTCCTCAAACCTCAGCGCACGCATGTTGAAGCGTTGCTGCTGCCATAAAACCGTCAACCGTGCTGCCCGATCAAAAAGGTATCGCTATTAGATGATGTACTGTAGTGGCAAGAAGGCCGCAGCACTACAGGCAACCTCAAACGCACCCCTCGACAGCGAAAGAAAGACGCTCATGCACGCACCCGGTGTATATTTGGAGGTGCAACATGAATGTAGAGCTCCTTCACATGAGCACAACAAAAAAAAGCAGATGCAACCCAAAGAAATGAAGAAGATAAACAAATTCGTCTCTTCCAAAAAGCCAGAGAAAAGGAAACAAGCCTTCAGAAGCGAGAAAAACGACCGCAAAAAGAAGCGCCATGAAACCGCTGCAGCATGCTGATCTACCCCCTGGACCTCTGCGTAGAGCTGGAACGGTGTTTAGCAGCAGCACGCGCACCTCTACCGGTGGTGTCAGGCGTATGTATGGCGTCTATGTCTCTGTTTATTATTTGCATCGACCGCGCTAACCGACCGACCAACGAAAATATTCAGTCTCAGTACACTGTTGAAAACACAAATAAACGTTTCTCAAGGCCCTGATCTGGGACCCTGTGAGAAAATGTCGTGGAGGAGGCTAAGCTACTCTGATTAATGACAGAAACGGTAGCAACAGGAGGAACTACACGTGTCTACCAAGGCTACTACTTTCCACATGCGTTCGTTTCGGAGCGTTCTTCATCCTGTCCTTATATATATCACCACTGCTCTCGTCACCAATATTTCCACTACTCGTATTTAGACCCCGATTTATGGGAACAAAATCTTGTCGATAAATCTTGATCTTGGCCGAGATCTGCCAGTTTCACGATTTATGGGAGCAAAATCTTCCGATATATCTTGGCCAAGATTTCTCGAGGCCCGAAATCTGCCCTTTCGAACAAATCTTGACCCAAGATCTGTCGAAACGAGCCTTCCGACAAATCTTGAGGTGGCGAAACAAATCTTGCCTGGGTGCGGCGCGATCACCGAAGGTCAGTCAACCTAATCGTCCATAACGCCATCAAATCTGCAAGTGGCACACTCGCAAGGGTCTCAAACGCACCCTGGCGTCACTGTGTCAGCGCCACGGGCGCCGACAGCGAACGAAAACGACCAAGGCGCGCGAAAAAAATGCGTATTTGCCCTGGCTCGTTCCGCGTGCGTCATCACCAGTCTGTCGAGGGACCGTTCAAAGAGTACTTTATTTTGAAGTAGAAAAATAGAGGAGGAGGAACGTTTTGCCAACACAGCTCTGTCGTTTGCGACGCTTCTATCTCTTCATCGAATCACCCCACACCCAATCCCTTTGCACCCGAGCCAGATCCATGAGTGCAGATGACAGCGCCGAAGGTTTGACCTCGGTACGCCTGCTACATAGTGAGATACGTGCACGGGTGTAATCGGCTTCGGGTTGATGCACTTTCTTGTCAGTTGGACCGCAATGGAACAATTTTGTTTCTCCGCTTGATATGAGCTCGTCGGCAACGGCCTCTATTTTGCACCCCAGGTAGGCGCCCATCGCTAGTATCCACCCATCGTGTTGAAGCAATACAGCTGGGGGAGGGACGCTCGTTTTACAGCTGCGTGTCATGGTCACTTTTCGCCACACCTTGGCATTTTCTGTGGACCAAGTGCCGTTGTGCCTTTATCAACTTCAAGCGGAAGAGAGGAACAACTCGCCGCTTTTTCAACATTCAACATATTCTCCCCATAAATCGCGATACTGCAAATCTTGGTGGAGATATATTGTGAGCAAATCTTGGGCCAAAATGCCAAGAAATAATTGCAAGATTCTGTTTCCATATTGTAAAGAAGGGTCTTAGTACAAATATCGGGCGTTCATCTCTAGACTATGCTCCTTGCGGCGTTTGTTGTGAGGAAGGTCATCTTGCTCGAAACGCTTGTTCTCTTCAACGCCATATTTCCTCCTCCATCACCACTGCTATCCTTCGCTATTCTTCCCTTTCCAACTCCTTCGTCACTAAATACTGCTGTACCACCATCCTCCTCTTCGCCCGCCTCAAAACTATGAAATCCCAACCTATTGGCTGAATTGGCTGTGGTGAAATACAATGTATGGTCGATCGGTACATCGTGACATTTGAAGACGTCACGAGTTCGTACCGACAGAACGAGAAGTTGTAGCTCGAAGGTAAACCGTCTCCCAATCCTGTTGGTCTGGTAGGCCTTGAGGCGAAGAAAGGCTGTGTATTTATGTGGTCTGAACCGCCCTATTGAGGGGTACGATATTGCCTGAACCGGCACTAGAAAGGGCAGCCTGGGCCGGTTTGCACTACCGTATACGACACAAGATAACACACCCCCTGAACCGATTTTCAAAGCTCGATTACTCCACGACCAAGAGGATGTATAAACGAAACGATACGTCTTCGGAGAGACCTCGACCACAAGGCTTCAGCGCCGCCGTTTTCGGCACCCCTACTCTTTATGCTGTTGATAAATCGAGCTTGGAAAATCGGCCCAGGGGGTGTGTTATCTTGTGTCGTATACGGTATTCAGGCCTCTGTCTGTGTCAAGAAAACTTACCTGCACTATACCGGGCTTTGGTACTAATCAACCGGCACTACATATACCGGGACACCAACTGGATGTATGATATATGTTACAATGCATACGCAAATTACGGAAGGCAGACCGGCAACAGGCCAAGGGTCGAGGGGAGGGCTCGGGGTAAAAAGAGCCCAAGACCAGCAGACAGACAGGCAAAGAGGGCCGCGGAAAGTAAACAAAAGGGCCAAAATGTGTACTATCTCTTTGTCTCTCTCCTTATCTGCCTGTCAGGCAGGCGACGCACGCGAGTCAAGTTTGGGGTGGGAAACGCTCGCGTTGCTTTTCCGCCTTCGGAGATTCGGCGAGTGGTGCAGAGTGCAGGAGCAACGAGTTGTGTTTCGCTCCGATGCGGAAATTTTCTCTGGAAATGGTATGCATAGTCTACAAGCGAGAACTAGGGCCGGCAAGGGCGGATAGCAACACGCAGGACGGTGTCACTACTGTTGTTGTTTATTCGTTGCTTGTAGCAGTTCGTTGGACTACGGGGTTCGATTCCAGAGCATGTTCGTTCGGTTCGAGAGTATGTTCGACAATACGACCACCATGCAGTACATGCTGGGGGTTCATCAGGCCATCAGACACTGTCGAGAATTTTCCGACGGCGGCGGAAAAGCAACGCGAGCCACCCAAAAAGACAACACATTGCTGCGGTCCATCAGGCACTCGCGCGAAGGAAACGATCCAACGGATGGGCCTCCTATCCTCCCTAAACGCCCCTGATGCAGCGCTAGCTCGTACCTGGTTTCCTGGCTTCGGTTGGGCGTCCAAAACTGGAAAACTAAACATGCAGACATGTAAACGACGCAGCTCTGGGGGACCGTCAGACTGAAACCCGACCTATGTTGCATACGCCAGAAGTCAAAATTTGAAATTTCAAATGTCCACCGGGACACATACGTATGCATATAGCATAGCTGCGTAGCAGTGCGTACCAACTGCTTTGTCGTAGGTCGTAGGGTTAGGTAGGACAACCTATCCCACTCTCGACAATCAGAGACGTGCTAGTTGGCGTTAGAACACGCGCGCTTGCTGCAGGACAGCTGCCTCGAACGCTTCCTTCTCCAATAACCCAACGAGAGATAAAAACCGCCGGAGGGAAGTCAGACAGAAGAAACCGACGAGGCGAGGCGATACCGCAGATCTGAACAAGGCACGAAGAGGAAGAGGAGCTTCCCGCTTCGTCTTTGTGGCGGCCGCCGCCCTCATGGTGGCCCGCATGGGCGGAGACAGGTTTGTGGGGATGTTGAAAAAGCGATGCTGTGTGCACGTGCACAGGCACCCTGTGCTTTTTTTCGTAGGAATCCGCCCCTGCGTGGAGGGAAGAAAAAAGGGTTTCACCTTCTGTTACACTCTTCCGTTCATCTAGCTATAGGTACTACGAGGGCCGAACGATCGAACTCCAAGAGATATTATCGACGACGGTGTTTGCGACACAACATGGTAATCTTTTTGCCGTTCCGTGTGAACAAATTTCGTGAAAAATTTCTGCGCGGCGCGATGTCTACCTTCTGTATACTGCTGTGTATCCTTTAGCCTAACTAACCTATAGCGGCTTGCGCATAGCGCACTTGGCCAAAGGAAACGTGCGTCAATTCTGGGTGTGGCGTGCGTCCCAGAAAACGAGGAATGCAACACGCAACTGGTGTAGGCATTTAACGCTAGGTAGGATGGAAGGCAATGGAAGGTCGAGATACGGCGCAATGTTAAGGAATTACCCCACCGGTGGGGTGTTTAGCCGTGCCGCAAAAAAAAAAAAAAAATGACCCGCCTCAGAGCGTGTTGACGTTTTACGGGTAATCGGTACCCAGTAGAGGACATAATGTACAGCATCGACATTTGCGCTGGCACGCCCAGATCTATCTGTTGCTGGGCCCGTAAAGTCCGCAAATAAATCTGGGTCCTCACCACATCCACGATCCAATGCTCCATGCATCCGCACCGTCACGGACCCGATCTCCTGAACAAAGGGTGTACGGCAGTAGCTCACTAGCGGCCTTGGACGACTGTACAGTAGTCTAGCAGTTTGGGGGTAGATCTGTGACGGCGCGTACACCGCTCACTGCTGTGATCGGTGTGGACCCAGGTTTGAATCCTGATTCGGACTTTTCGGGGTGTACCTTCAGCCTTCGACAGCGCGCCCTCAGTAACAGATCAGGGCACGCCAACGTTCAATGTCGCTGCTCCTGTTGCCCTCTACTAGCCTAATTCCGCATCTCATATAGCAAAGCACTTTGTTTCGCACCTTTTTTTTCATAGCACCCCGCCGTGTCGCCTGTGGTGTTGAAGTTAGACTGGCGGAATACGTTGTCTACATATAGGCTAGAGAGAAGGTGTGTGTGGGTAGACTGGGAGATAGCATGCAACGCTTGTGAAGACAAGTCCCAACGGCAGCTCTGTGCGGCATCTCGAGGATAACATCCTGCCGAACACTTCCTAGCTGATCTTGTGTATCTCGTGTGTGACCACTGGGTGCTCTTTCGGTCTTTGCGAAATCAGTCAAGATCAAAATCGGTCTTCTTCCAATTCCCCGCTAAAACCCTGACCATGTGACTAGATTTCCTCGAGATTGCTGAAGTATTTCCCCCTTCTGTCGAACAGTCCGCTGAAGCCTCCGTATGACCCACGCACGCGCACTCGACAAAAATACATAACGTTTTTCATATTGGTTACGTGGATGCGTTCATCGTTGGTCTTTCCATCCAAAGCGGCGACGACTTCGGGAATGCGCACGCACTGAGGTCGCGTGTATCTTCTGTAATGTTGGACGTGATGGAAGGTGGCCGCGACGATGATAGCCACCATAAGAAAGACAATGTTCTTCGGCCAAGCTGGCTCTTTACCCGCTCGATGGAAGCCCGAAAACGGGAAAGCTCGTCACCCTTGTATTTGCGGGGTCTTCATTGGCGTGACCACGATTGGCACTCCGAGGCGATACGAATGTCGCAGACAAGTGGAAGAATGTGCTCGGTTCTGTTGAGCGTGTGGATGGCGGGAAGAAGGTGATCCGGGAGGAGTCCCACGCAAAGCTAGCTAGTGGTGCAAGCTGCGATGGTTTTGCCTCCGACAGGTACCACGTTGTGACAGGGACCTCGGGAGTAAATTCACATTCGTCACGGGCGTAGGAGCCACCGATTGGCGTCGATAGCGTCATTGTCACCACTTCTGTCCGTCTTCCGCTCACCATTGTTCTTGATTTTGTTGCCTTCTTGTGCAAAATCCCACCCCCCTGTATACCGCCCTATCAAAATCGTCGATCACCACCGCCGCCAGGACGGGTCGTACAAGACACCCAGCCGTGCCCGAAGGAGCTACGAAACCTCGGTGGGCGGCGCCGCAGCGGGGGAGAACAAGGAGAACAGCCAGGTCGGGACCGGGTTGGTGGGCGGAAGGAAGAAGAGGGAGGGTGTGGGCGTTTCAGATGCAAAGAAGCAGCTTTCGGGTCAGAAGCGAGCGGGAGGAGATACCGGCGTCGAGAAGAAGAAGTTGTCCTCCGGAAGCTACTTCCAGGTGAGGGAGGGGTGGGTTTGCCCTACAAGTCTCGGGTGGAGTCTTCTTTTTTTGCACAATAGCATGTGTTTGGTGGTCTGGTTATGTGGGCAAATATTCTGGCGATCGTTGTTGCTATCGTGGAGAAGTCCGATCTTGCCTTTGGAACAGGCTCTGATGGGTTCCTTCGGGATCGTGGATCAATCGCTGAGTCTGCCTGCAATTGTGTGGTGGCATTCACAACGACATTTCTATGGCCCGAAAGAAGTGTCGCCACACTCCTTCCTTCGGTCCACCAAGCGCCCGCGAAACTTCGCTAAATTTCGGGAGTATCGAGCAGCAAAATCTTGGCGACATCGAAGCAACGCCACGGCGAAACAGCTGCCTTGTTTCCCAACAAGTCCAGCCGCGGTCGTTCCGTTGGCCGTTCGTTCTTTCCTCCTTGACGACGTGGGACACTCGAGGGGTCTCGCACCGATTCTCGAAATGTTTTTCGGGTTCATGTGCGTGCATCCCGTGCTATAAATGCGTATATGAGCTGCTGGGGGTTTCTGCTTGGTCGAAAGCGAGACGTTCCGATTGGAAGTTATGATTCTATTTTCACCGAACGAAACTCACGACGAGTTCTCACCCCCAGTAAGGATCGAGGCTGAGGTCCATTCGGGGTTCGGACCGATGCAGATTTGCTACAGGTTTCATTCTGCATGTTGCTGTCGTTCGTGAGGCATGTTGTCGGCTGTCCCACATTGCTGCATGAGGGAAGCCGTAGGTGTCCTCGTCGGTGCGCACCACCCCTGGCATGCTGTGTATGCCGTTAACTCCTTGCTTGTTTGTCCCGGCACCTGTGGCGCACGTCTTGCGATTGCGATGGTCTTCTGCTTGCTGATGTACCTGAGACCGCCGGCACGCAGCCAGCCATGTCCGGTCTGACTGACACCAGACTTGGCACGACGCGACCGCGACGTTGATTTTTGGCTGCTGTCGCACGCAAGGGCAGTCTTCACGGACATAACACGGGTGATTCGTTGTCGCTGTCATAAAACGGAGGCTGATCAGCGTAAGCTCTCGCTAGCTGTATGTAGCAAGGCCTATTCCTCTGCAGTTCATTATGAATTTTCGATATATGTACACTGCAAGCGTACAAACGGTCGCGCCATCACTGCAGTGCGTAACCCAGTGTCCGTGCCTTAACATGGTATCTCTAACAAGTTAATCTTGTCATTACATTCCAGGTACGCATATGCGTACGTACGAAGTACGATTTTACAGAAAAGTTCACGGATGACACGGCAGACGTTTTTTCGCTTGCTTCGGACGCGTAGGTATCTTCGTTTTTTTTGTGGATTTTGGCTGAACCTGGGATATTTCCGGCACACTCTTGAACCCTTTGTCAGTGTCGCCGCGGGAGTTGCGTGTGTTCGTTGCGTATATGGTAATCGAAGACGATTGTGAATCAGTATTTGTCTTCTTCCACATCCTAGGGTGCTCGGCGTGCACCGGCGGTCCTCTCTCGTCTCTACTGGTACTTGATCGGAACAAAGGAGACACGTAGCTAACGGCGAGCGGCTTCGGCGTCATGTCACGAAGTCGTGGAGCTGGACAGGCGCGAATTGAAGCGTATTTATTCACGCATGCTGTGGAAGGATCTGATATTCCTCGTCGTTAGTGTTTCGCTGGAAATATTGAGCGATAACCATTCTCGCACGTTGTAATTCATTTGACATCGTTCGGTGGGCCAGTTCTGTTGGGCACCCACGTGCTCTAGGCGAAGCTCTGACATTCCGTTGAGGCATGAGTGAAAAATGTAAAACGTTTAACGTTGTAAGCCGGGCCTCTCGAAATACGCCATAATTGGTACGTTCGCAGTTCTGCTCAAGAACGGCGAAACTCAGAACTGCATAATAGGAAATAGACTAGGGGTGTACCAGGTATTTGTATGGGATACTGCTGTAGTCCATAGTCGATGTCACTTGAAACGACGACGGAATGCTTCCAAATACAGTACACAGGCTGGTCTTCTACGGGGTAACCGACCCTATTCTTGGGTGACCGCTCCGTTCTCCAAGCCGTGTCTCCGCACGGGTAGGGCAGGGACTCACAATAGGATATATGACACTCCCTGAGTTCACGCAAAAAGAAGCTCTAGATGCACTACACAAGACAGCGAAAACGCAGAAGTCGGGTGTACAGAGCACGCCTTGGATACTAAGTTCGATACTTTTGAAGACACGATGCAGATTCAACTCTACACGTCGATCGCAGTCCAGGATATAATTGTGAATCCGTCATGGGCTGTCTCACGGTGTACATTGTCCAGCCTCAGCAGACGTACCTCTCTTTTCTCGTGAAACTAGCCGTGCGTCTTGATGTGCAACAAGTACACACGCGCTGCGACCGAGAAAAAAACAACACAATCAATTAAACCTGGAAAATATTGCACTTTACTGGCCTATGCGGAAAGAACTGCACTTAGCCCGTGCCTTATGAAAGGGAAAAAAACACGGTTTCTGAAAAAACCACACGGGCACCGACCGAAGAGCGGGTATTGACCAAGGATGGGAGCACTTCGACCCACGCATGCATGTATGCTCGGCGCCACGACCCTAACTCCTCGTGCGAAGGAGGTGAACACGAAAGGAAAAATAACACAAGAACAGGGCAACATTGACATAAAGACTGACTTGCTCGGCCCGGAAAGCCGGAACGATTACCATGTAGGACACCGTCTGACAGGTCGGCCAAAAGGTGCTTACTTACATTATGTATCCGACCAGGATCCAAAAACTGTATTATTTGCAGTCTCCACACCCATCGTAGACGACACTCTTCAAACATACGTACACCCCAGAGAGTATGGAATACCTCTGCTGGCCAACCAAAGCCCGCCCACTAGCGACCCGCTCCGTTGTCAATCCACGCCTCCCCCTGCTGGCAGCGGCCTACCAAGTCAAATGAAGTACATATTTGGTGTAATCCCGTAGAGAAACCCGAGCGAATCTCATCTTGGTTGGGGATATTGGTTGACCGGATGGCCATAAGGTGGCGGAGGGGCTGCAGTAAACGTCGCGTCGTGATCATAACTACCATATGCAGGAGGAGGAAGAAGATCACCAGCGGGAGCGGCAGGAGCAGCAGCAGCAGCAGAGGCCATGGACTCAGGATATGTCTCGGTCGCCGATTGGGCTAAGCGGTCACCAGCAGGGGCTAAAAATGCAGGAGGAGGAGGAAGACCATTACGCGAGCCGGCAGGAGCCCCGGCAGCCGAGGCCACAGGCACAGGGTATGTCTCGGTCGCCGATTGGGCTGAGCGGTCACCAGCAGGGGCTAACGATGCACGAGGAGGAGGAAGACCATTACGCGGGCCGGTAGGAGCACCGGCAGCCGAGGCCACAGGCGCAGGGTATGCCTTAATCGCCGCTCGGGTAGTACCGTCACCAACAGGGGTAGGAGCTGCTGGAGGGTCTGAGGAGCTGCTGCACATGGAGCACTTGAGGCGACCCGTGACGAACAAGCACCCCAATACGGCGGCAGCCGCCAAAAAGGCCGTTCCCCCGACTACTCCACCGACGATAGCGCCCACTGGAGCTGCACGGTTGTGATGCAAAGGGTACACGACCAAGGGTGGACAGTCTTGTTGGGTAACATGGTGAGAGGGGAGAGAGGGGCCATTGGCAGTGGAAGAGTCTAAGTACAGTACCTAGATGTTGCTGGGTATCACCTCGCTTCGTAACGAGTTTGACACAACATGCATTGTTCGTCCGGTGTTCCACAGGCAGCAAGGGCGGAACAAAGAAATACACATACCCTCAAGGTCGATACTCTAGGGAACAGCACAGCAGCGGGAAAAACCCAGCGATAGCAACACACAATTTCCTGGGAAAAGGTTGGTCATACAAAAAATTTTGGAAATTCAGCAGGCAATTTCGCTCTCTTCTGCCGTTTGGTGTGGGTTTGAACCTCGGTGCTGTCACACGAACTGGGGTTTGTTACGCCCAACGTGCCCAAACAAAATTTTACCACACAGCTGACAAGGGAAGCAACGGCTTAATTTCTATCGTGATCAACATCAAGGCAACCACCGTAGAAGGAAGCCGGAGTAAATAACTCAAACGTGGCCTCCTTCTTGTTGAACCTCGCCTGCTGCGTTCAGAACTGCACCGAAATTTGTAAGGACCGACGTCCAGAAAAAATGGAAAGGCAAAAAACAAAGGCGCCCTTCCCGTCGCCCCCAGGAGTGAAACGTGAATTCTGTTAGTTTTTATACATCGAAAGTGAACCGACACGCTTATCATTTTGTTCGGTATTCCCCGACAACGTGCAATTCTGTCATCCTAGGCGGTTCGTTGTATGGTGAAGAGAAAACGGCCATCGGAGTATTCATTGCGGTTGGGTCGCTTCTGTAAATAGTAGCCTGGTATCCCCAGCGAGCAACCGGAACCACAAGAAATTGCAGGAGATAGGAACCGGGCTGAAAACCTCAAGAGAATTGCCGTGGAGATCAATTTGCTTGCCGAAAACGACATACAAGTACAGCATTGTCAAGCGTCGCTCCCGCACTTGGAGGATTGAAAGGGAAGCTTACCTTCATCATCGCCTAACATCAACATTGATGGCGTCACGGATGACAGGGCAGGTCCCGCCATTGACCGAGTCCGCCAGTGATCAAGGTTGCGATTGTGTACGCGAAGGTGGGGAACGATTGCAAGGACACGCGCAGGTGCGACAATGCAATATTGGAAGGTTTCGACGTTCGGACGCGAACCTCGAATCTCGGCGACGTCACACGAACTGACATTGTTATCACATTCGACTATGACAAATAGATGCGGAAGATAGGGATCACATGAGTAGTCGAGTTTATGCGGAAAGAGCTTCAACGGCATGATGGAGAAGCGGAACAATTTACTCGAGGTTGATCGCGATATATTTAAAGCATGTACAGCAGAAGAAATCGTGGAAGAAGATTCAGTTCGAGCGTGTGCGGCTTTCCTCCCGTGTGACCCCGGCTAATGCACCCACCAAAACATGTCTCGAACGGTGAGCACTAATCGCGTTGCCGTCCAGAAGAATCACAACACATACGAACAAATTGTCTCCATCTCCCTCGATTGGACGTGATATTTGTTGAATGTCAGAGAGCGACCTCCGCGAAGGCGAGAAAATGATGTGAGATCTCTG